CGCGGCGCTGTTAAGGGGAAACTCCACAGAACGCACATCCGGACTGCGTTCTGAATCCGCCAAGCTAAGTGGAAACTCCACAGACCGCCCGCGTCCCGAGAAGTGTCGCGCAGTGCTGTTAAGGAGAGACTCCACAGAACGCCCGACCCCGCGTGTGACGCGAGGTGTGTCGCGCGGCGCTGTTAAGGGGAAACTCCACAGTTCTGAATCCGCCAAGCTAAGGGGAAACTCCACAGACCGCCGGCGTCCCGAGAAGTGCCGCGCAGTGCTGTTAAGGGGAAACACCACGCGTGTGACGCGAGGTGTGTCGCGCGGCGTTGTTAAGGGGAAACTCCACAGCGTCCCCTTGCGTGACGCGAGGTGTGTCGCGCAGCGTTGTTAAGAGGAAACTCCACAGAACGCGCGTCCGGACTGCGTTCTGAATCCGCCAAGCTAAGGAGAAACTCCACAGACCGCGCGCGTCCCGAAAAAGTGTCGCGCAGTGCTGTTAAGGGGAAACTCCACAGAACGCGCGTCCCGAGGTGTGTCGCGCGGCGTTGTTAAGGGGAAACTCCACAGCGTCCCCGCGTGTGACGCGAGGTGTGTCGCGCGGCGTTGCTAAGGAGAAACTCTACAGAACGCGCATCCGGACTGCGTTCTGAATCCGCCAAGCTAATGGGAAACTCCACAGACCGCCCGCGTTAAGGGCAAACTCCACAGAACGCGCGTCCCCGCGTGTGACGCGAGGTGTGTCGCGCGGCGTTGTTAAGGGGAAACTCCACAGCGTCCCCGCGTGTGACGCGAGGTGTGTCGCGCGGCGTTGTTAAGGGGAAACTCCACAGAACAAGCGTCCCGACTGCGTTCTGAATCCGCCAAGCTAAGGGGAAACTCCACAGACCGCCGGCGTCCCGAGAAGTGTCGCGCAGTGCTGTTAAGGGGAAACTCCACGCGTGTCACGCGAGGTGTGTCGCGCGGCGTTGTTAAGGGGAAACTCCACAGAACGCGCGTCCGGACTGCGTTCTGAATCCGCCAACCTAACGGGAAACTCCACAGACCGCCAGCGTCGTGAGAAGTGTCGCGCAGTGCTGTTAAGGGGAAACTCCACAGAAGTCATGTGATATAGCTCATTATAGGACTTGTATCTATATATCATAGTTATAATTTCCGTTTACTGTACGTTTGCACTAAACGTGTCTTTATCGCGAGGATAAGCGTCGCCGCCTGCATCACGAACAAGGCCTCAGTGGCGACGTTGACAAGAGTGGTGTCATCACCTGATCGATGCTTACAAGACTCTTACAAGTGCCCAGGGTGTGTAAACTTCGGAGGAAAGAAGGCCAACCAGTATCACGAAGCTTGGTGTTTCTTGCATTGCCGCAAACTGGGCCAAATCAAATGCCCTGTCAAAAAGCTGAAAGCGCATCGACGGATGCTCCCAGGGCCGCTCCTGCGAAGCGTCAGATCACGTTGCAGCAAGCCGTGGAGCTCCATGCTTTACTGCACGTTTGCACTAAACGTGTCTTCATCGCGAGGATAAGCGTCGCCGCCTGCATCACGAACAACGCATCAGCGGCGACGTTGACAAGAGTGGTGTCATCACGGCGTGAAGGGACGGCGTGACGTGGAGGCGTTGGTCTTGTCCACTGACCGTGGGCAACACCATGAGCTCTGCGAACGGTAGCTGCTGATGAATGTGGAGCTCCATGCTTGGTCGTAGCTGTTATAGCTAAGGTCAGGAGATGAGCAGAGACTGGCGATGATGTTATCTAACGTACACGACGTGATGATACGACTCTCGTGCTGCCCTGACCAGCGACCGTTGTTAAAGCGCCCGCGACACGTTCGCAAGCGTTCGCGATGCGTTCGCGAAGCGAAATCTTTTTTTCATTTTCGTCGCAAGCAGGTAGGCTTGTGAAGCGCCTCTGCAGAAGGAAAAGAAGTCAACTCGCTATGGCTAGGGGTTTCTTTTAAGCAATCAAAAAAAAACCTGATAGGGGCCCTATAGGGGTTGCGATATATGCGTTACGTGTGTCTGCATTCGGGTTCGTGGCCCCTATCAGGTTTATTATAATCTTTAGATGATTTTGAAACAGAAAATAATAATATATATATATATTTTTTTTGATTTTTCGATGCTTAATCAATTATAGAATTCGAGTCATTGAATTGGAATGAAATTAAGATTTCCGAAATCTCGTGAGAAAATCGAAATTATGGACGAGATGATAAATCTTATCAATTTTATTGAACGTACCCCTGCCCTCCCCTGCAATTTGGTCCTTTTCCATATTTCTTATTGAAAGTCTCTTGCATGATTATCTCGCGTGACTAAAAGCCTGGGGATTTTAGTGTCGCAAGCACTTCTCTCCCGATGCTAAAATCCCGAAGATTTTTGTAGTTTTCCGAAATCTCACGATATTGAAATCTTCCGGTTCGGGTCTGGGATCGTATCTGATTTGTCTTTTGATTCGTATCTGATTCGTATTGGGTCGTATTTGGGTTATATTTGATTTAGATTTAGATTCGTATTTGGGATTATATTTCGATCCGTATTTAGATTTGAAACTGATTCATATTTGCTATAATATCGAGTCCGTGCCTTTATCAAATAATGTAATACTTTGGCGGAGGTTCTAGTGCGGTCGTTATTGAATGAGTTCAAGTGTCAGTCGTATATCAGAGTTCGTATCCGGTTCGTGTCTGGGTTCATGTGCAGGTTAGTGTCCGGTTCGTGTCTGGGGCGTTCGGTTCTTATCTGGGCTCGTATTTGGATTCATATCTGGTTCGCGTTGGATTCGTCTTTGGTGCGTATTTGGCTCGTGTCTAGTTCGTGGTTGGGTTCGTGTCTGGCTGTGTGCACGAAATATCGTCCTCATATATATATATATATGTATATATAACTTTTATATCAATACAAGATATATTATGAAATCCAAAATTAACGATATATCGATTTTCATATATTTATATCAATATTAGAGCCAATATCAATAAATCGAAAACATCAGTAATAATAATTCAAAATTCATCGAATATCGATCATTCCAATAGAAATTACGATATGAAAAAAATATTATCATAATCTATCTTTAAAAAATATTTTATTTATTCGGGATCATATCTCGAGGATTATTTATTTTCTTATTCGTAGCGATGATATTCATTATAATTATTAAAGAGAAAGATTAAATAAATAGCAAATATCCCGGGCACGCACGAGACACGAACCCACCCACGATCCAGATTCGCACCAGATACGAACCCGACACGAATCCAGAGACTAACCAAACACGAACCAGACACGAACGCAGACGCGAACCCAGACACGAACCGGACACGAACCCAGACGCGAACTCGGTTACGAACCAGACGCGAACCCGGATACTAACCCGCATACGATCCTAGACACCAACAAAGAAGCGGAACCGGATATCAACACAAATATACGACTAATACTTGGGTTCATCCAACAAGCACAGCACTCGAGCCTCTTCCAAAATCTATAGAATTTCATTTTCGCGAGAATATCCATCGAAAGCTATCAGAATTTCGAAGATTTTAATATCGCGAGATTTCGTAAAGTTATCAAAACCTTCATGACTTCTGTTATCGAACAAAACCGCTCCCGATACTAATACAAGACACTTTCACGAAGAAACGCCAAGTTGTAGCGGGACAAGGGCGTGCGCAGAATCACGGGCGGCAGCAATACGATATCATTTTATCAGAAGTCTTCTATCCCTACTATGATAATAATAATTTTCGATACTCCAACCTTAATATTCTTCTTCAGTGCAAATAATATACCTGAAGAAGAAATATATAGATAGATAAAATAGATATCCTTATAGTATAGATATTCTAATTTATCGAAAAGTCTTTATATACTTTCTAAATATCTATCATATATTGATTCTTATATCATTTTTAAATTCAAGCATAATTCTCTTCTTAACGATATTTCAAATAGATATCAAAATTGAAAAGATAGAATTTACCATATGTGTCGGCGTCAAAATTACTTGTTCATGCTGCTTTTGATTTTGAATTAGCGCGTCCCCTATTGATTTTGGAGGTTTTTATCTCGTGCATCTGCAAGGACCATACGACTAAGTAGACTTGTTAAGCTATATGAGATGTACTGGGAATTACTGCGTTTCCTGAGTACAAGTGACGAGTTCCAGGAGAGAAGAGAGGAGAAGTAGTAGTAGTCGTCGTAGTAGTCGTCATAGTAGTCGTCGTAATAGTCGTCGTAGTAATCGTATTAGTACTAGTATTTTCATTCTCCACGCTGCATGACATCCGAGTCTGCTTAGCGAGCTAGCATCACGCCTTTATCGTGATGGATCCTCGATTGAGATCTGTGATGGGTCAGGATGACCAGCATCACACTACTATTCCAGTCACTCATAATAGCTTCTTCTTCAGCACAGTCCTGGCTCATAGTGAAGCCAGATCACATAAGCTGCAGTACGCTGCATATCTTGATCATCGGATATATAATTGCGCGCAATCCGACCGTGATCTGTGTGCCAGGTTTTGTTCACTCCATAGAAGGGCTGGCCATTCAGCACAGCTCGGTAGTGCCCCTCAGTTGGTGTGTCCCCACGACCTGGTATGGTGCTTGGATGCATGCTAGTTCATTGCGAAGCTCAACGCTCTCAGCTCAAAAAGCAGGCACGTGCACAGTAGACAGATGGCCTTTTAGAAGCCGCAGGTCGCGCTGTATTATCCCCTCCTCATTGTGAAAGCGCAGTAGTTGCAGGCACAGGTATGGTGCAGGCGCGATTAGGGCGTGAATGCAGGATTACCTGTGCCATATATCCACGCACCACTGCAGATGACATGTATCACTTGTACAAAGAGGAATGGGAATGAGAAGATAAGCAGGCCTTTGATCTAGCACACTGAGCTGATCATCCCTGAATCGTCGCGCCTCCCAGCTTGGAGCCGCATAGCCGACAGGCCAGCTGAGGCACCTGGATAGAAGGTAGCCGAGGAACTCGCATATGTCATGCTACCGATTGAGCTGTGGCCACTGCCCAAGCAGCATCCTCCAAGGCAAAAGGCGAGCTACCTGAATGGAGGAGGTAGATTGCATGGAGTCAGAGACAAGGGTATTAAAGCACTTGTGGAGTGCCGGACTGTGGTTGCCGTGTCGTCGTAATTGCAAAATCGTCCAAAGGAGGGTATATATGGAAGTGTGCATGTAGCAGTGGTTGTGAGGATTGTGGAATTGCAGTCGCAGAACCTGACTAAGACTGAGGTCACGGCCCTGGGTCAAAGACCTTGGCGTATTTGGTCCACCAGGGTGTTGAATTGTGGTCGCTCCTTCCACAATCTGCATCCTAGCAGGTGCCACGCCGACTGACCGATCCACTTCTGGAGGGTGGACCAGACAGGGTCGTCCAGCGGCCTCAACGAGATCTCCATGCGGAACTGGATCCATTCCGATATAGGCTGATCCGTCATCTTCTTGTAATTCCGAAAGCGATGCAGCGCCTCCTCGCACACGCCCTTCCGCATTTCTACTGTCTGCTTGAGCAAGTCGTCCGTGCTCGCCGCCGACTGGCTCTCGTCCACTTGCAGTTCCATTTTGACTGGATCCCATTTGAGGATTCTCCAATTGCCGCGATCGTCCGCCAAATTGAGCTTTTTGGCCTTCTCCATTTCGGATGGCTTTTTGGCTACTGCAGCCAGGTGACCGTGCAGCTCTATCATTAGCTATTTGAACATCGCAATCTTCAGGGAGTACGTCAGGGTGCACGGCGTCTTCTCCTTCTCGGCTCGCCACTTCGCTGCCGTTTGGTGGAGCAGAGACATAATGCTGCCCTGACCGGTCTTGATAAAGAGATAAAGTGTGACATCCTGTCTCAGGGAGGCGATTGTCTGCTCCTGCTGCAGCACGAGACGGGTGAGATTCTGCATGTGCTGCTGGAAGTAGTATTCGTTCTCCCCGATATAGTGATGGTTGGCCGGTATTGCGACCTGGGAGGGCCACGGATTATCCCACTTGTCGGAATCATTTGTGTAGTCCCAGGTCGGCGGAGGAGTCGGCGCTTTGCCCTTTCCTCTCCCTTTCTTCCCTTTGCCTTTTCCCTTGGTCATCAGATATGTCGAAAAACCGCCCTCCGGGTCCGATTGAGCGAAAAATTTGGCCTCGTCCGTCTCCAGATCCATTTGATCGAGGGTGAACGGAATCATATCAAATTTGAAGAAAAGCATATATGTTCAAAACGGGACACTAATAATAATACCTATCCTTGTTCAGCCTGACCTGCTGATAGTTTCTGCATGGAAGCACTATAGCTCGACGAAGGGCCTTGAGCAGTTGCTGTGCAGCTGCTTTGTGCTCGAGCCACGAGGCGTGCGCATGAACCAGGTGATGCTTGAATCCAGTCGTATCCCCACACCATTGAAAGCAAACGGAATAGTAGTGTTGCAGTAGCAGTAGTAGTAGTAGTAGTAGTAGTAGTAGTAGTAATAGTAGTAGTAGTAGTAGTAGTAGTAGTACTAGTCGTGATGGTGGTGGTGGTGCTGGTAGTGGTAGTAGTAGTACTAGTAGTAATAATAGTCGTAGTAGTAATTGTAGTGGCAGTAGCAGTAGCAGGAGCAAGAGCAGCAGGACGTCTTCCCTATGATATGGCCAGACCCTCGCACGCAAGCATATTTTCAAGTGCGACAAGTACCTGAATGAGCCATAAGGATATTTAGCACATTCTTAACGCGTTTGGGGTATCGACCGATTATCGATCTACTTATCGATCCATATCTAATATGAAATCTGAAAATCTATAGAACGTATACAGAAGAAGCTTTCAACGCACAAGTTTATAATCTTTTCCAAAATAATCGCCTATAAATTTCATTGAGGGGGGGCACGAACCACGCAAAGAAACAACAAATAGGAACCACGCTTCGGTTTCAAAGGAACCGCGACAAGAATTTAAGAATCTCTTCAAGTAACACTATCGTGGAACGGTCCATGTTCGTTGTGCTTAACAACCCGCTTCAGCTCGGAGGCTCAGGAGTCATGATAACGTCCAGATCAGAGTCCATCCGTTTCCGCAGAGCAACCATGGGCCAATCATGATTACGTCCAGATCAGAGCCTATCCGTTCCCATAGAGCATCCATGGGCCAACCATGATAACGTTCAGATCAAAGTCCATCCATTCCCTCAGAGCATCCATGGACCAAGCATGATAACGTTCAGATCACAATCCATCCATTCCCTCAAGCAACCATGGGTCGGCCATGATTGCGTCCAGACCGGAAAATACATCCATTCTCACAGAGCATCCATGGGTCAACCATGATATTGAGACCACAGTCCATCTATTCCCGCGTAGCATGGGCCACAACCACGATAACGTCCCCAGATCAAACTCCATCTATTCCCACAGAGCATCCATGGGTCAACCATGATAACGTCCTGATCAGACCATCTGTTCCCGCAGAGCATCCATCTGCCAACCATGATTATGTCCAGGTCAAACTGCATCCATTCGCACAGAGCATCCATTTGCCATCCATGATAACGTCCAGATCAAACTACATCCATTCGCACAGAGCACCCAATGGACCAACCATGATAACGTCCAGATCAGACCAGCAAACGACGTCCGAAGTCGGTCCACCAATCCGTGCGTCGTTTGGTTAGAGGGACTCTCGGGGGAAAGGGCAAACAACGTCCGATTTCGATCCAAATTCCGAAATTGAACCGCAAATCGTGCGTCGTTTGGTTTGGGGGACGGATAGGGCAAACGACGTCTTATTTCGCCCCGAACTACGGAATTGAGACCCAAATCGTGTATCGTTTGCTTTTGGGGGGGTCAGGACAGGGGTTTCGGTCCATGGCACACACTCCCCATTTGGCAAATTGGACTTCTTCCCCTCCACAGTGGCAAGCTGGAGCACAGGGGACTGTGATGGAGGAGATCGCACAAGCCGCTATTTTATGGGCCTCGCCGCTCAGGGTGAAAGAGGGGGACAAACCGTGGAGTTTGATGGCAAGTAGAGAGGCGCTTGCCACATATATGCCAAGAGGCCATCGGAGCCTCAATCATTACTGGTATGTGTATTCCGTCATGCACGTTCGGTCGGGCTAGGAGCGCATCCTCCCAGACTCTTGGATGCTTCGTCGCAAAGAGCTGAAATTGAGACGACCAATTTGGCAAATTGGACTTCTGTCCCTCCATACCTTGCCTACGTGAGTCGGACCTTCTGCTGGAAGCAAGCCAGACGAGGAACATCAGACAGCCAACTTGGACGGCAGAGCTTTCCAAGTTTTGCTTGCTATGGATGAAAGAAAGCAATGCCGCAAGAATCAAGTGCTCGTGTTGGCGACACAGGTGGAGCGGACATTGTCCACACCCCAACGCCTGAGGTCGTAGTAGTAGTATTAGTAGTAGTAGTAGTAGCAGTAGTGCGTGGGGATTTGTTCTTGATGATGTTCCTTGTCGCTCACCCCACCGAGCTATATTGGGTAATGATATGGTTGCCCTCAACAGACTCGATACGCTCTCTCCTTCACTCCCACTTGCAAGCGCTACTTCCAGGGCAGGCAGATCCAGAGTTCGCTTGTTTTCCACCTTCGCGGCCAGCGATGGATCGTCTGTGCTCGGGATGGCTCTGTTCCTCGGAAAGGTCACAGAAGACGAAAGCTATTTTAGCTAGCGGCAATGCTTTCTAGAGCTTGTGCTCATTCTTGAGCCAAAGTTGCATGGGCGGCATATGATAAAGTGGTTCAGCTCTGTGGTATGCGTAGCATGCCCACAGGCCTGCACCTAGAGATGGAGAACCGTAGCGTGCCTCCACTCTTGACCTATACAAGGTCGCACTCATAGCTCTTATCGTGACACCATAGAACTTGACTAGGCATCGCAGTCCGTTCGCAAGTAGAAGCACTAGTAGAAGCAGTAGAAGTAGTAGAAGTAGTAGTAGTAGTAGTAGTAGTAGTAGTAGTAGTAGTAGTAATAGTAGTAGTAGGCGTCGTAGCAGCAGCAGCAATCGCACCGGCAGCAGCAGCAGGAGTAATAGTGTCAAGAGCAGGAGCAGAACATCAGCAGTCGCAGCACCAGCACCAGTAGCAGTGGGCCCGGGTGTATTCGGGCATATGGGAATGGGCTAGTGGGAATGGGTAGGTTTGGGAGGGTTTCGGTGATTTTGCACGATTTTGGTAGTTTGGTTGTGCTCTTGGCGGTTTTTGGGCATTTCGAAATTTCGATTCTGGTGGGGAAAGGACATCGTGGGGATTGAGCTCGTGATCCTGCCCAATACGAGTGTGAGGCGGCCGCACGCCCAAAAAACTATCTGCTACAGCTCAGAGGGCGGGCGTACGCCTTGCAACGCCACGTGGAAGATATGAGTAGTCTCGATCCGCATGGGTATTGTTTGGGCTCTTTCTCACCTGGAATCGAGATTTTGGGACGACCAAAGGCTCTGTAAGGACCTCGCGCTGTCGTGGGAATCCTGCTCTTGCGGGACATCCGGGTCTGGAGGGACATCCGGCTCTCGTGGGACCGGCTCTGAAGGCGAGGCTTAATAAAACCGAAAATTAAAGGCTTGATATTGTTGTAGTGAGAGGTTCCATGAAAGGACGAGTTGATTTGAATCTACTAGTCTTCAGCTTCCCAAAATGGGTTTGTTGAGGCCGATAATGATGATGATGATGATGATGATGTCGATGTCGAAGGTTTGGAGTGGCCATCGTAGCCATCCCATCTTCCATCTATGCTATTTCATTGATCGCTCATGCCAATTCATGCTTGTTTTCAACAGTTCTCAGCACTTCTCAGCAGCTGTCACCTTGACCGCAAAAAGTGGTAGTAGTCGCCGAAGAGAGGTAGTCGTCGTGGCGTGCAGCAGTTTTTGTGGTAGTAGTGGTGGGAGTAGTCGTCGTCGCAGCAGCAGCAGCAGCAGCGGTAGAAGTAGCAGCAGCAGCAGCAGCAGCAGCAATCGCACCGGCAGCAGCAGCAGTAGTACTGGTATTGTCAAGAGCAGGAGCAGAACATCAGCAGTCGCCGCACCAGCACCAGCAGCAGCGGGCCCGTGTATTCGGGCTTTTGGGAATGGGCAAGTGGGAATGGATTTGCACGATTTTGGTATTTTGGTTGTGCTCTCGGCGGTTTTTGGTCATTTAAATATTTCGATTTTGGGTGGGGGAAGGGCCCAAGTGACACTATGGGGATTGAGCCCGCGATCCTGCCCAAAAGGACTAATAAGGCAACCGCCCGCGGTGAGACACAGCCGGCTATAGCTCAGTGGGTGAGCGGACGCCTTGCAAGCTATGTCGAACGCATGCGTAGGCTCGATCTCCGTTGGTGTTGTTTGGGCTCTTTCCCACCTGGATTCAAAGGCTCTGTGTGGACCTCGCAGCATGCAGTTTTCCGGGATTGCTTTGGTCGGTGTAGCAGTCCCAAATTGCCCAAAGGGGCAAACGACGTCCGATTTCGGCCTGAACCGCGAAATTGAAACCCAAATCGTGCGTCGTTTGCTTCGGGAGTTCCGAAATTTCCAGAAGTTCGATTTCGGTCCAAATCTCGAAATTGAACCCCAAGTTATGCGTCGTTTGGTTTTGATTGGTGACTTTCGAGATAGGGCTTCGTTCTGTGAAATGTATTCCGAGACTGCCCAAAAAGGCAAATCTTTGAATTGCGATATTAAACCCCAAATCGTGCGTCGTTTGCTTTTGGGGTTCAAAAATTTCCAGAAAGTGGCCTTCTTGGACCACGTGGCCTTCTCGGACCACTTGGCCCAACTCACCTTCTCGGCCCTCCATAGGGGCCTACTCGCTTTCTTGGCCCCCCATAGGGGCCTGCTTCATTAACGGATTCGGGTCAAAAAAGCCCTGCGGGGCGGCACAACAGAACTCAGACGGAAGCAGAAATACTCAATCACTCACGCAAAACTCAGACACTCACTAATTAAATACCTGTCATGGTTCGCAAACTTCTATTATAGTTCCTTAACAGCAGAATATAGTTCGCATTCCTGCTGCATAAGTTTAAGCTTCGAATCGATAGACGATCTATATACGTATCTAAAAATTTCCGTGTCGATCACTCTACCGTAGGCACACACTATTAAACAATATTTTGAATATTTATTCCGCTTCGAGGAGTAGCTCAAATCCGAGTACGGCGTATGCTTCTACTAGCCTATCTTAATATAGATTATCATTTTAGCGCGCCCCCTATCGATCTTCTAGCATAATAACTACACTCTATACTAAAATACATATACGATAATTTCGACCATAACTCATATATATTGCCTCCTGCAACTAATTTTTTAAATACTACCTCAACAATGATATTGAAAGTTCCCGCATAAAGTGAGAATCCGGTATAATATTGCTCTAATATCACTTCATGGGTTTCATTCATTTCAATATTTTCTCATTAATATTTAAGATCAACCGACTATTTTGAAGAAGGATCAACGAATCCCAAGTTCAATCTACTCCTTATTCTTATTTATACAATGTTATTCCAGAACTCGTCTTTTTGAGGTGAATGCGAATGAAACGTAATGAAACAGCATAGCGTGTCTTTGCACGTCAAGCCTATACACTACAAATCCTGCGTTTCTAAGTTGGCGATCAGGTGCGCACACAGCGCCATGCGCATCGTGCAGATTCTCTGATAGCCGCATGTTATGTACAAGTGACGGCCGAGTCACTCCTTGTGGAATTCAGCAACGAAACATAGCTTCCATTCTCGCGCAAGCACGAAGAAGCATAAGATCCACACGAGCAAATCGGCATGCCGCACCCCATGGACTAAATCACTGCGGGCAGAAACACAAGCAAGTCATTTCGCTACACGGATGGCCGATGAAGTGCTATTGGTCCAAGGGGGTTGGCAGCTGGCACCGAAGCTCACAAAGCTCGCGGCCGATCTGCGGCGAAGACTATGACAACGACCAACAGCCAACTTCACGTCCAAATTTACATTGACTTTGGATTGATGTGTTCTTTTCTGGGCAGGCAGCAGTTGTGTAAGCTTACTTGCTGGCCAGGTGCCCCACGAGTGAAGCAAGGAATCTGTCAAAGGGTCGGGGCGGAGGCTAAAGGGGGCAGAGTACGATGCACTGCAACAGTGTCAAGCGAGGCTCTCTTTCACTGCATATTCCCATCAAACCTCGCCGGCCGGAGACGGAGAAACGAATCTCAAAACCCTCAGCAGAAGAGCCTAATCTGGAACACATGTTTGTTTTCGCAGCCAATCCTGCAACATCGAACCCCAAAACCCTCATACCAGTACAGCTGCAGCTTTCGGAGCTTTGCAAGTGGCGCCATGCAACAGCGTAGCTGAATTGATCGCTCGAAGCGAACCGTATGCCGAGCATGGCAACAGCCACAGAAAAAGACAAACGAATGTAAAGAATGTACCGATACGGTACTGCAATAAGACACTGGAGCTGCTGACAGCCTGAATGAAAATTGCACCCAAAGGGTCCAGATGCCACATTGCGAATGTGCTGCCACTGAGCCTAGCACAAGGATGGAACCGTCCGCGAGATTGCTTTGACAACAGCAGCACTCTCGCATGGGAATCCCTGTCTGTCAATCGTCTATCCTTCCGCCACGCTTCTTCGCCCTTATGTCATGTGACAAGTGCTACCGACTATGACATGACCACTCACCTGACGAATGCTGAGGGCATTTTCGGTCCCGTAGCAGCTGCAGGAGGCTGTTCGGCGTTCGGAGCGGTCTTCCATGCTCCGTTTCTTGCTGTGGCCTGGCTCGTTCGGCGTGCAGACCTCCCGCACGTTGAGGCCCCTCCCCATCATTGGAGAGAGAGAGAGAGGAAGGCAGAGACCTGCTTGTCTGGGGGGCACGGTGAGCTATCCAAGATGGTCCTGAAACTTTCAATTTCAATATCCATGCCGAAGCGACCCCACGCTCCAATCGTGGGCCCGGCCCAACCCAGAAGTTGTGGGTTTGCTCGTTTGTTTTGTGAGTTTCTCTGCCTGTGGCTGCAAACCGATGTGTTCGTTCTGCAGGGAGAAGGATAAACGGCCGCACCGACATCTCGCACCAGGGATGGCTCCACACGCAAATACACACACACACACACAGACACGGAGACAGACACACAGGCACTAGGCCGACATCAAGCTTCAAGATTCAAGAGTTTCAGCCTTGTGCCTTTGCCGGAAGTGGATGTTCAAGGTCGCGCGCGGATTCCTTCAACTTTTCGCCAATTATTCATTCAACCGGTGCCCGCGGATTCTGTCAACCCGAAAACGCGGATGCATTCCACTCCAAAACCTGGCTCTTTCAACCCCGGCACGGAGGATCACTCAACCATGGCCCAGGGAGTGATTCCCTCAACCCAAACAACTGCTTCGTTCAACCCATACACAAAGAGTCGCTCCAACTACGGACATGCGTGCTACCCCAACCACAAGGACTCACTCAACCACGGACACGCGGATTCTTGTTCCCCGCCCTCGCCCGCTACCCTAACTGCGACTAGCACATGCGCCGCAGGCGGCGCATAACGTACGGCGGCCGGCATGTTCAGGGCACCGGTCATTCTTCAAGGGTAAGGGCTACGTTATTCAATGTGAGATTGGCAAAAGAGCGGCCGAGATGCGTTGACAACAGTGTAGTGTTGACGGAAGCCGGGGGCGGAGTTGACGGAATCAGCACAGGCTGCGTTGATGGAAGCGGGCGATGGGGGTTGACTGAATCCGCACTATCTGGGTTGAGGGACGCGGCGAACAGGGTAGAAGGAAGCGCGGTTGAAAGAATCTTGGTTGATGGAACCGAGCAAAGTTGAGGAAGAAGGCTTCTACCCGGGTGTTCAATGCTTTGTTCAACACCGATCTTGGATATGCACCCTGGGTATTGCCCTGTCACGTCGTATCCTCAACATCTCTGCTGCTTTTCTGACGAGCATACATGGCCTCCTGAAGCTCAACTGGAGACATCGCTGCCCTTCCAGGGATGCTGAGGAGAGAAATAGTGCAGCCGGGAACCATATCATGCTTGTTCTATGTTCTTGTGGCTCGGCCTCCAGTGCTTCCAAATGGAAAGAAGTTGCAAAGCCTCGGAGAGTCCATACACGGAAAAAGCCTTTGGGGCGATGCTGAGCCTCCTGCCTGTGCGTTCGGGGTCATCTGCCCCGTGCCTGGCAGACAAGCGTCGACAAGGGGCAAGCAGCTTTTGCGAGATGGAGGCTCCCACTCCAGGAGCAAAAGCAACCAGGCAAAACAACTGGATATCTGCAAAGCTGGCACGTCCCTCCATGGCTTCTGCCTAGCGTCCAAGTCAAGCGCAGATTACGCCGCCCCTTTTTTTGCTTCTGTCTGCGGGTGGTTTGGGCCCTTTGAGCCCTGAGCCTCGAATACTGGATGGCTTCCACAGAGGAGGCTAGAGCTTCTGTCGATATTTTGTCGAGCGAACGGTGGATAATGCTTCCACGATGCAATCGCAGATGCTCAGTCTCTCCCAGTGAAGCCTTTCCATGAGACCACAACGCATATCCGATTAATAGCAGCTGGCCGCGCAAGCCGTAGCAAGGAAACTGAGCCGGCATCATACATCGCGGTAGTTTCCAGGAGGTCGGCTGATTTCTAGCTGGTTCACACTGGCATAACATCTGTCCGATGTGCATGGACGCAGACGCTTGAAGTCTGTAGAAAATGTCAACCCTTGCGGTGGTATCGCTTGCATGAAGTGACTATCCAGGTGGCTGGGGATCCAGGCTTAATGCCTCTCGTCTGGCCATGTCAATGGGAACATCCGGCGACAAACAAACTGTAGGAAACTGGCTGCCCAACATGGTCCCGTCGTATATTTCGCAGATCACTTGTTGGCACGTGCGTGAGGCTGATGCTCATCATTACGAAGCACCGGTACAAGAGCGACAGGCATGTGTACCAGACACCTAAGTGGACATGACAGATACACTGGAAACGGCATCACGGGACCAATAAGTCGGACTTCCCAGCTTCCCTTGCAGGCAAGAAAGTTCCGCATTGAGACTTGCAAGAAAGGATAAGTTTTCCTCGGGCTCCCTGCTTCTACACCATCCGTGGCCACCCTTAATCTTAGTCTGCCAGTAGGAGTCACGAAAGATCGCCAAAGTAACCCAAAGCACAAGCTAGCAAGCTGCGGGTAGCATGTTGCCCTCAAGCATTGGCTGTAAGAGCTAGACAAAATTTGAATATTGAAATTAACAACATCCAGGCCGTCCTCTGGAAGCCAAGTTTCGTAAGTGTACGTGCCTCAGCAGCTAGAAGTCACGAAGTCAGCCCGACTTTTCCGATCTGCAGAAAGATGGAACCGGCTAAAATCTGCTGCTAGAACGAATGGACTACGCAGCAGAAGGTTCGATAAGGGAGCTACAACTGGTAGCTCTCCGACGAGTCTACTGCGAAGCCGAAAATCCGAAACGTGAATTCTTTCAAACACACCACCACTGGACCAACTTGTTGCAGTTGCTGCCCCACTCTAAACTCTAAAACAGACTGCAAGCCACTGGTGACTACCTCAAGCGTGCTGATGGTATCGTCAATAGACACGGCGCTTGCTCATGTCTGAGACACTCGGTTCGTGTGGACTGGTCCAAGACTCGTGCAGGACACAGGTCACACTGAGCAGTTGAGAGTCATCAGTGCCGAACAGCCGGGAGGAAATCAACTCCGATATTACCTTGTTGACTAAAAGCTGCAGCGATCAGCATTTCCTGTTCTAGTTCTTCCCTTCTGCTCAGCTTGCAGCCGAATGGGTACAGTTCTCATGCAGGCACCAACACCACCTTCTGACATGCGATTGGCAGCATGTGGTGCGAGTACTCGTAAAGTGACCCACGATATTGTCAACCATTCGCTTTGCCAACAGCCTGTTTGGAGGATGGTGCTTGGTGCCGAGCTGTCATGCAGTGTTCACCCCGATGCTATCTGTCGCGGTCTGGGGCGAAACTTTGTCGCAGCGCGAGTGCACCACTTAAACCAAAAAAGCACCTAAACAAACACCACAAAGTGTATCTAACATAATCGCCTCTTCAAGCTAGCAAAACAGGCAAGGAATCCTTCCCACAAGTCTGTTTGGGTGCTTTTTTGGATCCTGAGCAGTGGTCCTCACGTAGGCGGCAGGTCTCGCGGACGATGGACACGGCAGCAACATCAGTGGCAATCAAATCAGAATGAAATAAAGCCTCCTGTGCCCTCATCATTGCACTCGACACTGACATTAAATGGAAGGGACTCAGTATCAAGACCTTAGCACACCCTCTTTGTGCTTGCGAAGAATCTCTCTGCAATGGTACAGTGCTCAGGAGATCAAACACCCTGACAAAACAGTGTCTGGGAGGCATCTCTCCGAGTGTAGATCGGTGAGATAACCACATGGAGTAACTTTGCAATGCTGGCTTTCGAGCCTTCGTCCATCTAGGACAGTCGTGCGCGACGGACCATGCGCAGTGAAAGGCGCCTCAAGACCCTGGGTCGGGTGGCCCTTGTCGCTGCACAAACTAAATATCTCACTCTAAACAGTTCTGGCAAAGCCCCTGGCAGCGCGGCCCTACTGCCTACTGCGCGCGATCACGTTTACACGAACGATGCCTTCCTGAGCACTGCACTTCTTATTAGTTGTTTCTGGATCACGTTGGAGCTCTGCAAGCGATAGCAGCGTCATTGCGTGGACATGGCCTTGGCCAGTCGCAGCGTACTTTTGGGGTTTGGCAGCGAATGGAAGATGATCGCCGCGTTGAGCATGCCCGAGATTTGCTTCGGGTGATAACCTCAGAAGGAAGTAACCCGATTACAAGAACACGCCAGGATCCGAAGATGCGAAATTGACAACTCTTACAAGCGCACCGTTTGGAAACAAAGGTAATGGAAAGCCTATCGAATTTGGAAGTGTCTCCAAGCGGCCAGAAACCCAATGCTGCAGCGACTCCCACTCTCTTGCCTGTGAGGTCAATAGCAGAAGTTCGAATCAGAAAAGTTGAACTTTGCCCGAGCGATCTGAATTGAGAGCTCAAGCAGTGAAGCCAACGGCCCGGGATGCATTACCGAGTGATGTGCGTCTTGAGTCTTAACTGTCACTTAACCAACATACTGATTAACACAGGCAGCATAGGCAGGTCTGTTGTTCGGAGCGTGGCTATGCATTGACGCGAGAGCTGGTTAGCATGCAATATCGAGTGCCGCGATTCCCTGATGCTTTTCCGTTGGGCATGACGAAGGACATGGCCGTCACCCGGTCCGACTTTCTCACTCCTGTAGTGGTTTTATTGGTGTGCTTTTTGCCTCAGAAGGTCTTCACAACGGCCAGTCTCGGTGCTTGGCCCCACAGCTCGCTGCTGTGTCCACCAAGCAGTAGGTACGAGAAACGTCGGTCCAAGCACACCGGTTCAACAAAAATCGTCCCAAAGCCGACTGCCACCCGGTCTCCTGCTCTTCCCCGATCCTACGGTTAGCATGGCCACAAGCTCCTTTGGGGTTCGGGCTTATGGTTTACTCTTTAGGCGGTCCACCCCCGGGCGACTGTCGTTTGTAGGTTTTGCTCCGCTGAATCTGAAGGTGCGTGGCCCCGACGGCTCCGCTGTACGAGCTGCCGTGCCCCATCTCGAGGCACAGATGCGCCCACAGGCCCGCGCATCTCAACATCAAGGCAGGGAAAAATCGAATATGATCCCGGATCCCGGGCTGCTACCACACCCGCCATCGCATCAGCGCCCCTCCCCGGCTTCAGGTCGAACCCGTGGAGCCACGATCCTCGTGACAATTCGTTTTCAGAGGCTCTCATCCTCACCAACAAACGCTGGGCCTTTTAGTGTCGCATCTCCCCTGAACTTCGACGTGCAGGCAACTTCGCATCCAACACATCCCAAAAATTGCAACAGTGGCTGCCACGTAGTCGTGATGTGCAAGTGTGCAAGTCTGGGTCGGTGGGTGGGGTGGGGGTGGGGGTGGGGGCGGGGGTGGGGGTGGGGGGTGGGGGTGGAGGTGGAGGTTGGGGGTGGGGGTGGAGGTGGGGAATAATGTGTGTGGGGGTTGGGGGTGGGGGTGGGTGTGGGAGTGGGAGTGGGTAGTGGGTAGTGGGTGGTGTGGGTGTGGGTGTGGGGGGCGTGGGCGTTGGCGTGGGCGTGTGCGTGTCTGTGGGCCTGAGCGTGGTGGTGGGCGTGGGCGTATGTGTGCGGGCGTGGCCGTTGGGCGTGGGTGTGTGGCGTGGGTGTGGGTGGTGGGTGTGGGTGTGGGTGTGGCGTGGGCGTGGGCGCGGGCGTTGGCGTGGGCGTGCGCATGTCTGTGGGCGTGAGCGTGGCGTGGGCGTGGGCGTATGTGTGTGGGCGTGGGCGTTGGGCGTGGGCGTGTGCGTGTGGGTGTGGGTGCGGTGTCCTGCCTTCCTGGTGGAGGGGAGCTCAGGCCCCGCATGATATATGGTCGCTTGACAATCTGCATAGTAGGAGCACTCATTGGCCCTGCCTGCAAGTATGTCACTTGCCTTTCGCTCTTGCTTGTGAGAATATCGTCCTCGGCTACTCGGCTGATGAATGCTATCAAGGGCAAAGCAAGTGCCGGCGAAGTAGGAGCAGTTCCGTCATTGATACAAGCCAAGCAACAAGTAGCTCCAAGAAAACTCCCCAGGTTTCTTCGGGTCGTTTGCCCCAATGCCGGCGGTGCTTCGCCAGCCCGAACCTCATGGCACAGCAGGGTTCGGGGATGTTGCAGGCCTTCACGCGCCACTGCTAAACTGTGCCCGTGGTACTCCCAGCGACAACGGCTAGGCAGGATTCTGGGTGGAATTTGCCGGCTGTTGAGCAGACGACACGAAACTTGGAGAACCGATGGGAAGCTGAGCTCTTGGCACAGCCAACAAGATCATCAAGAGATCTTCCTCCGCAAAACTCTTCACCTCAGGCACCAGAACGTGGCTAAGCAAGCTCCACAATCAGCATCCACAGCAGCGAGATACCTTGTTCCGGGGACCCTTCGGCTGTTTCTTCTCGGAGGCGACATGGAAGGACCTGCAAGCCCATTTCCGTGGTGGCCGGGGCTCTCTTGCATCCAGCACAACGCAAAAATGTCTCACTGACAAAAAGTCGTCCGAGGTCTGTCGAATGGCTGGGCAGCTTGCTCAGGCTCTGATACAGCTCTTGCCAGCTCTTGCTTAGACGCCGCTGGTTAAGTAGCCGATCGCAAAGCAAACTTCCGCCACTCAGACATCGTCACTGTGCTAGAGACGTCAAATCTTTGAACTCTGACTGTTCATGTGAGGCCACGTCTGGAAGTCCCAGCGACGGCGGTGAAGAAGCATTGCCCAGGCCAAGCCCAAACCCAGGAGTTCTCTTTTGTGACACATCGAATCCCCGCACAGTGGAGAAAAAAAGGCGCACACTGCACGGGTGCCTGAGGCCGATCTTGATGTTGTCCATTTCGCCAAGCTTTGTCAGTGGGATACCTGGGAGATCACACGAGCCGAACCACATGTCATCAACCGGACGGTCAGGTGCATCAGGTGCATATGCAGGTCAGGTTCGGCGTTCTCTTGCACATCACGCGCCACACAGCACGACCCTCCACCTAAATGCAGAATCGCGGCCCACGTCTTGGCCGTTGGAGTCATCTGCCTCACCTCGGCGTAGAACAGGCAGCCCCTTCTTGGGCACAGGCCGCTTGTAGCGAGTCATGAGCTGTTGGGCCACCGTGTAAGTATCAACAGCAAGCAAAGCAGAACATGGAGGTTGACAAGTTGTCCCCTCAATTTGCAGGCGAAGCCACACCTGTTAGGCGCGGCAGCTTCGTCATCCAACTGCTCCTGTTGCTCACTCGGTGGACAGGCCTGCAGGTCAGCAGCAGGTCGCAAGCTGCCAACGGACTTCCCCCAAGCATTGCGTGATGCTACTCATTCTTGGCATCATGCTGTCAATGCCTATGCTAGCTGCTAACCTTCCAAGCTAACCAGCAGCAAAGAGAGGAAGGCACAGGTAACGACAACATGAACACATAGGAAAGCCCCAGCAAGCAAGTCCATATCCCGATTGCCTTCTCACAGATTCGTTTCTTGGTGAGGTCACTGGAAGAAAGAGTGGTCATAAAACCTGAGTGGCATTGCTGGATTCTGGCATGCATGAAGAGAGCCCTCATGACCTGCCAGGCCCTGTGTCGATTGCATCGCAAAGACCTTCGACCTTCGTTTCGGGCACTCCTACTGCCTGCATTGAGCAAGACCTCTTTCGTGGAAATTCCGAAAAAACACCAGAAGCAGTACAATTTGACGAGGGATCACGGTTTGCAGCAACGAACGGCAGTTCACCTGGTCAACACATAACGCAGGGCTACATCCAGCTGGGCGAGCAATGACCTCGGTGTTGGACTCCATAATGCCAGTGAGCTTGGGTTGCCCACGTCTCCAGCGTGCAAACAGGAAATCGCCGAGGTCCCTATGGGGGACCGGGACCCAAGCAGTCAAAATTCAGGTCGACTAGTCTTCAGCAAGCTGCTGCGAAGTATCACCAGGAGAGGGGTCTCGAGAAGTAGCCCGAGGGTGTTCAATCCTGAGCTTTGCCGATCACAGCTGCTGCTATCCCCGACTGACGACGTGAACTCGGTGCGACGTAGCGAAACTAGCATCAGAGCTGTTTGGTTTCACCATCAGTTGTTTTTCGGCTTTCGCCAACATCGCCTTGCGGTATGTTGCAGTGATGCACTATGTCGAATGCACGGCTTGCAGTGTTGAGGGAATTGCGTACTCGAGGTGCTCGTGAGTGGGACGGATGCTGATTCTTTCTATGCCAGTCGATGTTGCGCTAGCCAACGGCCAGATCTTGGGATGTCAAGCTCACCGTATATCCCAAACCCGAACCCCATATCGTAAATGCTGGACTACAGAATCTCTTCAAGCAACAGACCATCTTGCCCAAAAATCTCAAATCCTGCACGTTACCGCTGATGGGCAGAATCCTGCATCACTTGGCGCTTGGTGTTCTACAGGAGCAGAACTCGCAGTGTCGAGTGCGACACGGCGCTTTACCGTACTGTCAGTCACGCCGATCCCTGGGTGTGCATCTACGAAGCTGGCACACCAGCCCAGTTTTGCACCCAGGTGCCAATCTCGATTGCCATCTTCGCGACCATTGTAAATTATTTCGAACCTGGCGACCCCTTGATCTCGCATGCCATCTACGGCTAAGGTTGGCTTCATGCGTTCCCCCGTGCGCACGAAGGTGTGGTGTGGTGGTCTGCATCTCGTGCCTTCTCGTTCCCGGCAGACTGCGAAATCACGACGCACTCCCTCGGATCAGACTTGAAACGCGGTCGCAGTGCGCGCAGCGCGTGCGCGCGTGTGCAGTGCGCAGCAACTCTCCCGGCCTGGCAGGTTTTCCTCTTCTTGGCTCCGCCCACCTGCAAGCCCTTCTGAGCAGCTCGAGCCGAAATCGGCCATCGGATCTTTTCTCGCAGACATCTAAGTCGTACCAATAATTGCCTTCATGTCATGTCGAGAGCAAATTTGCGACACTTTGACAGGGTACTGCATGTACAGATCATGTCGAATGCAGACGTTCCAGCCTCTGATCAACATCTTCTGCTCCAGATACAGCCTTGTCAACCGCTGCGGTCGCAGAGGGGTCAGCAGATCTAGCAGCTTTCATGGAGATTGCGTTTGTTGCAGCTGGCAAGCCAGGGTCAAGATGCGCTGTGCGCGGGGGAAAGCCGGCAGCTGCGTTAAAAGTCTTCCTTGTACGCCAAATTTTGGAACTGCCTGGCATCAAGCTGCGCAACATGTCAGCAGATGCCGAGGGAGCATGGACAATCAGAGAATTATCACTCGAAGGAGCTGGGAGCATCTGGCACATTATGTGTGATCAGAGGCCAGCTCGGGGAACACTCTCCGAAGTCTGATCTGAACCTGAAGTACACTGTCACTCAGCTTCGTTACCCAATTTATCAACAAACCGATCTGACCCACTCCGGATCAGTTCCCAATGACCAAAATCATGCAAGCGCGAAGCAAAAGCACTGAATTCACTCATCGGTCATCGCCAGCCTGCCGACTTGAGTCAAACAAAGTGCTCGTCCTTTTGGCTGCCCCGACACTCGGTCAGTGAGGGCCAGCCCTACAAAGAGTTTGGAGCCTCGGACAAGATTGTTACCCCTGGAAAGGAACAGCTCTAATTTGAATGCCTTGTGATCTTGTTAGCAGCCCCGATTCCGCCCACGGCTCATCACATCTGCGGTTGAACACGGCTGAGCCGTAATACACCTTTGTCAAATGGCGACAGCTGCCTTTGCCTCGCAGGCAACCAGCTGACGAGTGCGATTCGGCTATGGTCCTGATGCATCATGCTCCTTGTTTCTGACAGGTGCCGTTCCTACAGTCGATTTCGACTTGTCAATGGCCAAACGCTGCTCAACCTTGCAGGCTTTGGCACGTGTCTTATTTTGTTGATACTTCTTGGATTCGTCAGCTGGATTTGTGCTCTAAGACTCTGTGAACCAGGAGCGTCTGCATTCACTGACTGCACCTGTTGTTGACGAAGCCTCAATGCACGGGTTCACCAGGGAGGCTCAGCGAGCTCCAGGACTCCGACCCTGTTCGCTCCACTTGCCGCACTCGGCTCAGGCCCGCATGCGCTGCCTCCTCTGCCTTCACGCGCTCCACCTCGGCCTGGATTATTTCCAGCTGTCGCCGCCTGGCCTCAGCCAGAATGCCCCGGTAGACCGCGATGCAAACGCAGTAGCGCCGAACGATGCGGAAGAGCTCCGGGCATGTGAACCGCCTCCGCTGGATGATCTGCATGAAATCCTCTCGAGTAAGGCTCAGTAGCTCCAGGTACGTCAGGGCATAGCAGGCCACAGGCCTGATCAAGGAAGTGTCCGACAAGACGAAATCCTCCCCCCAAACCACGCCCAGGGAGCGTACACGGCTGTTCAAAGCAACGAGGCCTTTAGAGAGGATGTACAAGACCTGCACATTGTGGAAGGTCTCTTGCTGGGCGAAGGCGGCCACATTCAGGACCCTTGCAAGATCTGCCACACAAGCCTCGTAGGGTGCTGTGTATACTCCAAGCTTGTTCTGATCCTTGATGAAGCCCAGAAAACTCTTAAAGAAGCTCACTTTCTCCAGCCACAGAAGATTTGTAATCACCGATACCTCGGCCTGAAGCTGTGGGCTCATACGCTTCAACAACGCTTGCCGCGACACATGCAGTGACTGGTACTTGTTCTGCAGGAAGTAGCGTCGGACACGCATTTGGAGTTCATAAGGGACCCTCTGATCATCCATCATACGATTCCTCGCATCGCAAGAGACAACGACCGCATCGAGCTTATCTGTTTACCCAGCTGTTGCTAGCTTGGCGTAATTACAGCAGTCTCACGTCGATTGGCTAGCTAACTACAGAAGCCGGGGCTCAGATGGTGCATCGTTTTGCGAAACTCTTGGCTCTCTGCGGTCATGTCTGCAGTGATGGCGCCAACCTCTCCAATGACGTAGGCCCATGAAAGACCGGCTGCCAAAACAAGCCCTGAACACATCATGCGCTCGACGATGTTTTTGGGGCTAATGTCGCCGTACCCCACGGAGGTAACTGTGTACGCACAAAAATAGAAAGCTGCAACGTAAACACGAGATGGCGACTCCGTGGTTACCACCCCGAATTCAAGATCCGCTTCTGCAATATCATCAATCCAGCGCGGGTAGCCCTCGTCGATGACCGAGAGCGTCACCGCCCAACAACAAGCCAGCCAGTGGCAAGTCAAACCCAAGACCAAGATGAATCGGAAGAGCGCGACTTTCTGATATGGAATGGACAACGGAGCCTCCAGGTCCTGCAAAATTTTGGAAGCCTTCATGAGGCGCATAAGCTTGATGAGGCGAAGAGCCCGGATCACCTTGATCCCGACTAGGTCCTTCAAACTGTTCACCTGCAAGAACATGGCCAGGAAGTCCCAGGGAATGACCGTGATGAAATCCACCTGGTTATATTGTAGCTCAGCGGAGTCTACCTATGGCTTTTCAACGTTTACTAGACACTCCTGGTCTCGGCTCCGACACCTTCCAACCCTCAAAAGCACTTTCTTCGAAGTACCAACAATACACCCGAACCTCTCATCTCTCTTTGTCAACGTAGGCTACACAGCACTTGCAGATGCAAACTAGCCCCTGGAGCCCTTTGTTTGGCCCCGCACCATGAACCAAGTTTTCAGGTAGTGCTTGCATATGTGGGAGAGACGCACTTCCCAGACCACACCATAGGGAGTTGATGTGGAGTAAGCGGTGAAGAATTGCATGATCAGGTCGACCTAAGCCAGCTGAAACTCAGTTTTGAATGAAAGCATCGTGCAGAGGACGAAAATCACGCATGGCCGAGCAGCCAAGAAGATGAAGTCTACCAGGAAGCCGACGACGAAGACAGCGTCCACCCCAGGCTCCAGTAATGATACTTGAACCGGGGTCACGAAGGCGACGAAGAGCAGGGCGAAGCTCATCACAAATTGCCAGGTGCTGGCCAGCCAGCTTCGGTCAGGGTTGATGACGTACCTCGGTTTTTTGCAGCAAGCAGCAGCAGTGAGAATGAGCTACCAGTGGCAGCAGCAGCAGCTGAGCAGCAATGAGCCCCAAAAGCAGAGAAATGTCAACAGCCCAAAAGAACTCTAAACCAGAGGCAAGACACCAGGGTTTTTGCACAGTATACACGCCTGTCTTGTGCGCTCTCAGGACCGTGAATTGGATGCCGTCGTCAATCACCTGTTCAGTCAACTTTCATCAGTCTTTCAGCATTCCTTCCTTCCCATTATTATCACCACAGCACAAGCATCATAATGGCCCATCACCACATCATGCATCACCATCCCACAATAAACGCGGCCAGCTCCTCGGGCCTTCGACTGTTTGGAGCCAGCTCGAGTTTTCCAAGTCTTATTATTCTGCAAAGTGCCACGATTGCCAATGGTCCCCAGGCCGGCACCGATGCTCGCCGCGATGCTTTGACCAATACCACGTAGACCGGACCCCTTTCTTGAGAGTTGTTTGGAGAGCTTCGAGTCCTCTGGGTCAAAGTCTTCGAGCCGATCTGCTTCCAAGATTAGGTCCTGGTTCGTGCTTTCGCTCTTGATCCAGACAGCGGGGGCATCCTGCTGCGGTGTCGAGGGCCTCGTTGAGGGCTTGGTTGGCCTTTGTCCTGGCTTGCTCGCTCCCCTCAGCGAGGCGGTGCTGTTGATCACCATCTCCCAAGATTTTTCAGCCTTCGTGGGCGATCGCGTGGGTGATCGCCGCATGCCTGTCTGCAAGACGTGCGAACCAGCATTCGCCAAGGAATCTTCCAATTGTCGATTTTTGCGGCGGAGGTCGTCCATGAGCGCAAACTGGCCTCAGCAAGAATTAGAGTCATGGGCTCAGTGCCTGGAAATTTTGGGAAAAGATCTGGCCTTCCAGCTCCTGGCTTAGGTCTGCCAGCAGGCTCCGCCATCGTTCCATGTCGAGCTACGAGAGCCACTTAGTGGCCAAGGAACGGGCAGGTAGCCGTCTACGAGAGCAAACCTTGATGAGGCACCAGATATTTCGGAGATGACCTGCCATTGACACGACTCAAGAATGGGCAAACGGGCAAAAGCGGGCAAGAGAAACTGCGTCGCCGTCGGGTCGCTGGGATCCCCGCAGGCTCCTCGGCCTCTGACTCGGCCTCATCCCTGCGACAGCGATCAACCGAGACAGGGGCCCCTGGGCTCTTCACACGCTGCATTTGGCTGTGGGCGGGGCATCTCTGCCGCGGCTTCTGTTCCCCAAACCTCGGCCAGAAGCTGCGCCAGAAAAAGAAGCTTGGAGAGGGAGCTGAGCCGTGGGAGTATCCCTTTGCATTACGCAGAACATCGGTCGATTGTAATTAATGAAGGGGTGAGGTCGCACTGGCTGTGGCCAGCCCATTGCCTGAAGCAAATTCCGAAATCAGCTGCAGTTTCAGGATCAATGAGCCACCAGTTTTACTTTGTCGGGCATCCTGCGGAGTGAAAGTGGGATTGCGTTCGGAGTCAGAGATGGCGGCGGCAAACGTTGGCTCCTGAGCACCGGGCCCTCAGAGTGCAGTCATCGGAGGCCGACACCAGCCAACCGGTCGGCTCCTAAGTGCAACGCAGACTGGAAGTGCGCAAGCGAAGAATGGCAATGTGTAGCGGGCACCATTCCGAAGTCACAAGTAATTTGGCATTAGGTTCATCACGATACCGCAGGTGTACAACACCCAACATATGCAGACAAAGCGCACCAGCGGGGGCAGGTCCCTGCATCCAACCTCAATACGCAAGTTCAAGAGATGCACAACATGCAGTCTGCTAGCGGGACCTTTCAAGAGCTTTTCTTCGACATGCTACCTCTACGACTTGGTATGCTGAGTCTCCTGGCACACTGAGTTCACCGTTGCAGTGTGCCCTGGCAGCACCTGCTCAGCATGATATCAGTACTCCTGAATCCTCCTGGACACGGTCGCACTAGCAGGCGGGGCTTCGGAGCCTGCAGTAGCGATCCATAATGCCGATGCCATATGTAGACCTGCCGTGAAAAATGCTGAACTTAGGAACGTAGAAAGCTTCAGCATGCAAGTAGCTGAAGGAAGACAAAGCCAAACTCAATTACGTGGCTCCAAATCGTCACGAGCTTATCAAGCCTGCGCGTCCTCAGATCCACTCGCCACTAGCTCCTGTCTGACAAAAGCTTGCTTGGGTGCTAGTTGATTTGTCATGACGAGCTTTCGTGGGCGGCTAGACTCTGATGCACGCAGATTCCGCTGACTCTCTTTCGCCTACCGGGGCAGACAACGACAACAGCAGTCAAGCAAAGGCATACCCAAATCTCCTCACGCTCGCCGATGAAGGCACTTCGCACAACGAAGCGCCCCTGCAGATATGTATACTGTATAATCCACAGCTTTCGGTTGCATGATGAGGCTTGAGAAGCAAAAGGAAAGGAAAGCCTGCCTACCTTGAAGATTTCTCGGCAGCAATGCACGAGGGTCTTGCAGCTTTCAGCTTGCCCCCACCTTCGCACTTGACCCATCTGTCTGGGAAATCCCCTCTCCGCCACACCTCTCCGTCCAGCAGTGTGGATGTGGGCAGGGGTGCTATTTGACTAAGGGGTTCAAGGCTGATCAGGTGCACTGTTCAGCAGACTTGGCCATCCAAGGCTCGTACTCTGCTTGGACTACATACAGCTGGCAGAAGATGCGGAGGGCGTACTGTGTACAAACTGTCCACGGGGAGCGCTTTGGCTCCGCCTGAGTACTATGTGGAACTTGCCCAAAGAGAGGCCGATGCATCCTCTGCAAATGCATGGGTCCGCCACCCGCAAGGCTTGCGGTCCTGTCTGTGCCATCCGACGCAGTTTCACTGCGGCTCCATAAAGGCTGGCCGGCGGCCGGGGACAAAGCAACCGACCTGCAAACACAGAAAGCCCTCTTCTTTTGATCTTTACCATCTGCTTCTCACCAGCTCGCTGGCACCGCAACCAAAGCCAACAAAAGTGCTACAAGGGCAGTCACGGCCACGGAAACGAAGTGCGTGGCCTGCTTTGGACAGTGTCGGCCACGACAATATTGACTCTCTTAAACCTCTAAGCAACAACTTTGCCTGGGCTGCCAAAGTTTCCGCCTCTCGTATCAGCTCTGACACCTCGGCTCACCACTGGCATACGCAAAAAACTGAGAGGCGAGAGGCGGCGCGGCGCAATGCGCCGCATCTACGACTAGGGCCAGTGCATTCTCTCCTGTTACAGGGTCTTTCTCAGGAAGCTCAGCGCGAGGATCCTTCGAAAGGAAAAGTATCCACTCAACCGAGTCCTCTGATTTTTCTCCGGGTCCCTGGCCTTTTTGAGGAGAGCCTGAGCAGCCCGCCACCTCCCACGTCTGAGATCGCCAGAGAGCAATTAGCTGCTTAGCTCTTCTTCTGTCTTCTTTCGACGCAGAGTCTATGTCTATGATGGCCGAGCCTTGCCGTTGAGGCTGCGCTCGCCTCACGACATGACCCCGATTTTCCACGGACCGACAACACTTGCAAGCTGCACTTGCACTTCCCGGGATGATTTCACATAATTTTCGCTGGTCACTTGAAACAGCCCAGGCAGTTGTTCACACGAAGCTCCAATAAGAATCTTCCACTGACAAAAACCAAGATCTTGCCCAATACAGGTACAACTGGCAAGGCTCAAGTCACCATAAGTCAACTGAACCGAAGATACGGGGCTGGTGACGAGTGCCGGGTTGGCAGGACACGCCGAGTAAGCTTGCACAACCGATCCACCTGCGGGTTCTTCCTGCAGCACGATTCAGGCAAGTCCTGCGACCGATTCAGCCGCTCGCTTCTGTTTGAAGCCATCATCGAGCGTCCTGAGGCTTGGTGGAAAACCATCGCGCTGCATCCCTGTAGCCGCACCAGAAGACACCTGACAGCGGCTGGCCACACGGCACGTCGTGGAGTGACGATCCCCAGCCGCTCCTCGCAGTACTCGAGGGTCTGGAGGCAGCACTGCCCACCAGTAAGGCACACGATCAATCCTGAGACTCGAGAGGAGGATCGCGGTACGACGACAAGACCATCGGTAGCTGAGCCACTTCACATCAGCCAGAGGATGTGCACAGGCCGACACGCGCACGACGTGATCTCCTGAGAATTGAATGGCACTTATAGAGTCATAGAGCTTCCGATATTACCAGAATTCAACTGATCCCAGGGTCCCGGTGCTCCGCGCCATGGAACAAGGAGCCGGTCTGGCCAGACGAGGCCGTCGTAGTAGTAACGGCCTGTGCTTCAGCACTGGAAAAGGCGCCGAATCTGCTGCAGTCAAGACGGCAGCTAAGCGCTGTCTCTTTGGATTTGCTCCGCATCGCCGGCTTTGCTGAAATCCGAAGATCTCCGAGCAATGGACTTCTCCCTGCCGAGCTGCCGAAGATGCGCCTGGGAAATAGGCCCGCAAAGACCGGCACATGACCTGGGCACCGATTTTCACTGGACCGCCGTCTTCTTGCGCCCTCTCCCTCACTCGCTCTTGTCAGACTTGCACTGCCTGGGCAGACGAGCAGCAGGACGCACAGAGCGTCTGAATAACAGTTTCATTGTCTGGGAACTTGTCAATAACCTGCAGAATCGAAGCCATTACGGAAAAAAGAGCGGCATGCTCGGGACTGTTGGAAGACCATGCCTCCCCCTGCACAAAGGGCGGGTGCTGTGTTACCCTTGTCAGCAGAACCTCAGTTTCCGGAAGCGCGAGTGTGACCACGAGCTCAGAGCTCTGCCCCCGCACGGGGACCGCGCACCTTTATGTGACTTGCCTTTCAAGCGGCCCGCATGCGACCGATGAGGCGCAGATAGGCACCCTGCAAGCAAGGCAAGGAATGATCAGTCTCGACCATTGCATCACCTTAGACCTCTTCCCCAGTGCTTCTGTTTTTTCGTTTCAACGAACCTCAAACTGGAACTTGCGCAGTGCGCGCTCGACAGCTGGGAACATTTCCTTAGTTGACACCAACGGCGCTGTCTGTGGAGACTCCATGAAGTCTGCATCTCGGATGTCGAACGACTCGATGCCGAGATCCGCCAAAGTTAAGACCATGAGAGCATGAGGCACACGTCCCTTCAGAGGGAGTCAGAGAAAGAGAGGGGGAGGGAGCGAGGAAGGGAGGGAGGGAGGTGCTGACAAGCCTCTACAGGATTGCGCTTGCAAAGCGGCTGCCTGAGCTTGCATGACCACTAGCAAAGTTCCCTATGTTTTTCCCTCTGCATTTCTGCAGAGGTTTCCCGAATAGATTCTCCGAGCTGCTGCTCGACGATGAAGTCGAACACATCACGGACATTGTTCCCACAAGCCAGTACACACCTGGAACCCACAATGCACAAAATCAGAACCGTCGCCAACTCGCCAATGCGGCTGCAGGCTTTCCGAGGCAGCCACGCGATCAGTGAACCACCAGAAGAGCCGCTGAAGGCTACCTCAAGGATTTCTTTCAGTTACCGTTTTAGATCCGTGCAGAGACATCTTCTTCAGCGATCCTGGTGCCTCTTCCGGCATGGAGTGGGGCTCATCCGGTTTTCGGAGGAGTCCCAGATTGTCGCTCAGCCAAAAGCCCACGCCAAAATGGTAGACCTGGCTCCAAACTCCATTTGTAGGATCCGGTGCCCGTCTACTAGTACCTCTGTGATATGGAGCAGCCTACACCAGACATGAGTAAGACAAGATCACGATGCATCAAGGTGACGAACAGCCAGCCGCAGGAGTCGAACGAGAACGTCACTCGCCTTACTCTCGGGAACTGTTACACACGACGAATGCCTTGGGCCCCTTGGGATTTGTCATTCGTCTGTGCCGCGACCCTAAAAGAGCCGTCTGCTTTGCAGCCACGCCGGCCGTGGCGACTCGTCACTGCTTTGCCGGCTGAGGCGGGAGGCCGCTAGCGGCTCCGAGTGCCACTCCTCAGGCCAAAGGAACGCAAGGAGGCAAAGGCAGCTATGGCGACCGACTGCTCCCATACTTCTCAGATACCAAGGGGCGGTGTAAAGAATCAGCCCATTCCCAATTACAAACAGATGCAGGGCCGCCAGCTTCGCCGGGAAGTGCCCCCAAATGGCTGCGGCCAGCGAGTGGCCCGCACAAAGGATGTACCTTACCAGAGACCGATAAGCAGGAAGCCGGAAGCTGTCGGTGCTGCGGCAAGTGGCTGCGCAATCTGAAGCCTGAAGACCCAGGTGGCGCGCGAGACCTAGCTGCAAGCCGCTGCAAGCAAAGCCAAGCCAAAGATCGAGTCGGCGCGTGCCCGTGTGTCAAGGTTCGAGGAGACACCCTGCCGAGGATAAATCGACTAAAGAGACGACTTCTTGCGGCCGGGGCTCCCTGGAGTCAGAACGCGAAGGAGAACTGGATGTACAACCTGCAAGCGCCACTTGAGGGTGCGTGGTGGTTATGAAACAGTTATCGGCATTGGTATTTGGTTGTGTGAGATATGAAGTAATTGTAAAGGTTAGGCAACTGGAGTTATGGTACTTAGATAAGTGCAAATAGCCAGGAAAGGTAAGTGCATTTAAGCTAGATAGCTAACTAGGATAACTTGTAAAAGCCTATACATAAAGCAAAAGCCAAAAGTACGAGCACCGCAGAAGCATAAAAAGCTAAGAAACCTAAACCCCACACACCTGCAAAGCACTGATCGAAGTGCATGACTCATGACCCGCATCATGCATGAGCATCAAGATGATACCCGCAAGCAGGGCATTTGCTCGGTTGCAGGGCCCATGAACTGAAGGAAGTGCATGGCTCATCACCCGCATCATGGGCGAGATTGTGTGAGCTTCATGCATGACACGAATCGCTCTTCTTTCACGGCTTTACGACTATGGCATTGCCGTCCCTACCACGATTCCTCACGCAATACGTCACCAGCCTTCCTAGTGCCTACTTCGAAGCCGATCCAAGCGTAGACTGTTGCAGCTCGGAAGCTGAAGCTGGAATACAGGCCGTACACGACCTTTGGCTTTCAGTGGTCACAACTCAGGTAGAGCCACGCCATGGCCGTCATGTCACCAGCCGAAATGCAGCTCCGCGGCAGTCTGGCAGCCCGAGCTTACCAGTGCCGGGACGAAGGCTTCAGCCCCGCAGCCACAGCGGCAGGCGATGAACCAGCCCCACCTGTGTATTCGCTGCTACTGCCAATGTATGCCGGTCTCATAATTCTGTAATTCTGAAACCGACGCTGCCAATGGAGAAGAGAGCAGCCCTAGCAACATCCACAACGACGGGGAACTGGGGGAGGTTGCAAAAAGGGTACAAACAAGTCGCCGAAGGCTTTGCAAGCAGAATCTCATATTTCTGGTCAATGTGAACCGTCGCTCAGTTGGTCAATGCGGCGAAGCTGCAAATTCAAGACCTCGAATGTAGCTTGAGCACGTCTGCAAGTTTCAAGTTAACTTTGCGCTTCTTGTCTTGCTCTGGTCGCTCAAACGGAGTATGGGCTATACTGCTTTTCAGCCGAGGCACGCGGAGGTAGACATGCAGAAAGGAGACGCCCTGGAACTTCTTCTGAAGCACCTCCAAAAGCGGAGCAGTGGCGAAGGCAAGCAGCCGCTCCTCGGGCCAGGCCGAGGCGCCATGAAGCCGGTCTCCACCAGTTGGAGCTGGCGGCCTCGGCGAGAGGCCCAAAACGAGGCCGCTGGGCCACAGGTTAAGAGTCGGCAGATTAGGGCGGCCCGGTGGCAGTGGTATTGCAGCCACATCAGCCAGCCCAGTCGATGGCCTGTGGCCTCATGGCTGTAGAGATAAAACGGTGAGCTCGACGCTCGGCCGCTAGGCTGGGCCATGCTGGGCCCGCGCTGGGCCGGTGGCTGTGGTGTCTGGAACGTTGCCCCAGATCTGGAAGCCCTGCGCCTGACCCTCGAGGACGAGCATAACGAAGCCTGTTGGAGAATGAGGGATGCACGGGGATGCACACGCTGAGCAAGTGCTGCCGCGGCTTCCCGGCTCATTCAACTTCAGGCTTAAATCTGCAGAGCAGCAGTACAGGTTGTAGCAGCACTGTGTGGCATTGTGCACTGCCATGCACTCGAATATGAACGTCTGCACCTTCAGTGGCATGCTACAGCAGGCTGCAGGCTCGTCTTTGAAACCCTTGCATCTCCGAGGCTCCGACTGGCAGACTGCGCCTGCACTGCCAAAGCGCTCACAGCACGTGGCTTCACTACCTGACCTGCCCTGAACCGACTGGACCCTCGTGGATCCCGGATACAGTGCAGTGGATCTCACGTTCTGTGCTGCCAGCCCAGGCACTGCGCCATCCGCCCAAGCCCGACAAAGGTTAGAGAAACCTTAAAGTCTTTGGTCGGGGACAAGCCATGAGTTCGCAACTGCAGCCTTCAGCCGAACCGCACCGCCGTTTGAATGGCATTTGGTCTGTGCTGGTCGCTGGTCGACATGACAAGTAGCATAAGCGAGGCTGAGCAGCACCGCCAGCGAGCCACTCACCTGATTCTCGTGCTGTCAAATTCGTCAGATCAACCCTCGTCTTCCCCTCCCTGTCCCTTCCCTTCTCGCACTGTGGTAGAGTCGTAGTCTAGGCAGTCCGGGTCCGCTGTGGGTCTCTGAGACTCTGAGTGGACTCGACACACCGTTGCATGCTTCACTGCACCTCTGCAAAAGGGCCGCCCGCGCGTGGCTCCAGCGCTCCAGTCTCCACCTGCAGTTTGAGAGATCAAGCTGCTGGCACTCACGTTCGCTCTGCAGTCCCTTGCAGTCCCTCTCGGCCGTGTCTGTTGCTCACACGAGTTGCAGCCTGGCAGCCTGTATTTGCCATCGCGCGCTGCCGAACTGCGCCAAGCCAGGAACCTGCCGTTGCTGTGAATTCTGTTCAGTGCCGAGTGCTCTTCAACCAGTTTCTGCATGCACCCAATTGACGAACTTTACATACCAACCGTTTGGGCAGGGCACCATGTAGCAGGTGTAGAGCGCAGCACCCAGCAGAGTAGATACTATCGGCACAGGGCGAAGCTTCCGCCAAGGCGGTGCCGAATTGAGAACATCCACCTCCAGGGCAACAGCTCACGCGGGCCCGGCTTATACTTTCCTGCAAAACGAGAACTGCAAGCAGCTGGTGGTGCTGGCGCTGGGACTCTGGGACTGCCTGGGTGAGTTTTCCTCGGCGGAGGTTCGCGAAGTCGGGCTCCGTGCGGAGCTCCCGCGCCATGGCGAACCCACGGCCATGGGGCGGGCCGGCTCCCGACTGCTACAGCTCTCCTAGGGCTTCTTCTAGGGCTCCTTCTTCGTGAAGTTACTGAGTGTTTGGGGAGACCCAGAAAAGTCGGAGCAGGAGGTGGGTTCGTAGAGGGAGCGAAGAGTCTTACAGACAGAGGATCGTAAATCCAAGTGCGCCTTCTCGGGGCGAGATGCTCGGGAGAGATAGCTGCGCTTTATCTAAAATGCTTTTCTCGGGGATGCAACCTTGTACGCAAGGGGGATCTTGCCGGTGCTTGGCAATTGAATATCGGGCAGGAATACGGAAGGGGTCTGATCTTAGTCTGAACCTGGGATCTGAGACCTAGGATCTGTTAGCTTCATGCAGCCTCAAGTCATGATGCTGACAATCACCTCGGAGCTCCAACAAGAAATATGCCACACTCCATACCGCGGCTGCGGTCCCCTTGCGCATCGCATTGCCGGGCCTGAAAGTGCCCCACGTACCGTTGGGCCACCCGCCGGGTCTGGAGATCCCATAGCCGGACACTGCGCAGGCATCGAAACTTATCCGGACATCAAAGATCACCGCTCTGGATTCGTCTAGGACATCACAAAAAAATCTCAAGCACGCACACGCAGCAAGTCTTTGCAATCGCCTCGGGCCCTGCTGCAGAGCAGAGACCTGTCGACGGGTGGCAACAAAAACAGTTGTGAAAAGGATTAAAGGTGCAAGCCCAAAGACATCGCAAACATGCAGGTTGAGTACTACGAATGCGAGGGACATGCTACTGACTCGAGCAGGACTGCGGCGCCTTTGCTGGCTTAGTTGCTTCCGGTAGATTTCACAAAAACCCGGCTTGCCTGATGCGTTTCCCTACACTCTTTGACTCTTTGCAGATTAGGACCAGGAGATGCTACTGGAGAATCCGACGAGAGCATCAGTTGCACAGCTTGAAAGCGTGCTTCTCTGGAAGCTTGGGGATCCAGGGCAGGGGTGCCGATGCTTGAAGACAAGTCTTCATGATGTAATGGACCCATCTAGCCACCCCTGCCAGTGGTTCGGCGCCAAGTCATGTCTCGGTGCGGCAGCCAAGAAGGCGAACCGTCTTGAAGCATCCGAGACATCGGCGTGCTGCGCCACGTTTACGAGGAACTCATCCCGGAGCCGCGAAGCGCTGATCTGTGCCAGTGCCCAAGTACGCTCGAAGGACGCTCCTTGCTCTCACTGTCACTATCACTCGGGTCCCCTGCCGAAGTGACGGCGTCGCTCTCGGGCAGTGGTGCCAACTCCTTCCGCGAGGCGACGTCGAAGACCTGCATCCCACAGCAAGAGGATCCTGCTGCCGCATGGCGCGAATCGACATGCCCTCGCGCCTTGATACCTTTGTCAGAGTCCACGACAAGCACTCGCGATCCATCCCTGGTGGTAGCCTCATGGGAGCATCTCACTGCATCTTCGCATGTTGGCTTCCATGGACTTGGAAACAGAATGTCAGACTCTGGGCCGGCAGCCAGATCCTGCACCCTGCACTGAAGCTCCCAGCGGTGCTGCCTCTCACTTAGCTCTGCTCTGACCGGAATCCCCAACGCAGACTCTCCAGCCCACCCCGGAGGTGCTGAGAACACCGCAAGTCTCCATCACTCTTCCAGAGCAAGAGACACCTTGCGGCAGTCATGCCGAGATGCAAGGCAGCCTCCACTCCGTGCTGACGGGGAACCTGTCAAATCCTGCTGACAGGAAGTGCTCGCCATCGGGGAGCCAGGCCACCTCAACTGCCGCTAGCACTGCGTCCCAGCCACACGGCTCGTTTGCCCTTCTAGATTCTGGGCTTCCCCACAGCAGACACAGAGTCTGTATGTCTTGCGAAGATCTCCGGCTCCACGGCGCCTCGCTGCAATGGCTTGTGCGGTTGCTCGTGCCAGGCCATCGTGCACGGTGCAAAGGCCTGGAAGAGTCCAGAGCCTGACCGTGCCTGCCAGAACCGCACCACTCGGAGATCAGGCATTCTGATGCCTTTCATTGCCCCCGCCGTCGCTGGAGGCAGAAAGGAGCCGCCGCCCGTCAGGGCTCCAGGCCAGGGCAGCACAGGGCCTTTGCAATCTGCTCAGCACGCAAGCCCAACACCCACCGTGCCTGGCATACGACCTTTTCAACCGAGGCCAGCTGTCGGTCAGCCAGTCAAGTCTTAAGGTGCTACGGCATCTGGCTTAACCTGAGGGGCCGGCGCACTGTGGCCGATCAACACCTCCGTCACCTGACTGGACCGACTACGAACTTTTAAATGCTATGCCAGTATCTGCTGGCCTATGCTTGCTCGGAATGCGACTCCCCTTTTTAGTTCCATCGAATCAGCCATTTCCATCCGCTTTGACTTTGAGGGACGTGCTTCAAGTCAACGGTGGTGGCAGCACGAGAGGCAGCGCTTGCAAGTGCTCAGTCAGTGTCCTACTTGTTGAAGCCAGAACGACCTCATGAGCTAGACGATCTGGGATGTAAATGCTTGGCTTGACTGACCACTACTCTGAGAGCAGGCTGCATACACTCTGCTCTTTGAAAGCCGTTGTGAAGAGCGAGCTCCAAACGGCTCAAAACCGATGCAAACTCCTCGACTCTCTCCAGCTGCCCATTTCCATGAAAGCTGCTCAGCATTGCGACTATTCAGTGAGAGTGGGTCTGCACAACAAAAGCACGCCCGATGTTCCTGGACATGAAACCTGTCAAGATAGCACAGGCTGGAACCTGAGAATCTGCTTACCCTTCAACATGCCTAGCATTCGGTGTGCAAGGTAGCTATTGCACAAGGAACAGGAGTCAAGAGCTGTGTCTGGAAGAAGTGCCTGCAGATTCTCAGTCTCTGGTCCCTTCAGTCAGGGGCCGAGAGGTCCGGGGTCGTTGGCCCCTCCGAATCGATTCTCTCCTGACAGCGCACTCACGGGCAGTAACATCCCCACCATGACCCGTTCCTTGCCTCCTCCGGTTCCACGAGCGGCAGTCGCTGGAGCCAAGGGCCAAGACACCAGCACGTGCGCTGCCGTGCTGGTGCACCTCGCCAAGCAAAGAGAGCTTTCATGGGAAGAGGGCGGAGCGGAGCGAGAAACCCCCACCTGACGCGTGTCCTCGGGCAGGTGCGTGGTCGGCTCGTCAAGCACCGCAGATGAGGTTGGCCGGGACAGCCTCCTGAAGGCTTCGTCATCCGAGGTTCGATATTCCGGAAAGAGTGTCTAACTGCTCAAGCTGCATGGAGAGCCGCATCCATCATCTTCGGGTACGGCAGATTGAGATCCTTCATCGTCTTGATAAACTCTTCCTGGCACAGCTAGCGTGTCTTGACACTGACAGACAAGTGGTGTCACGCCTTGTTCTGCGTCAGACGAGGATTGAACTTCTTCTCTTCTGCCACGGTTGACACATTTCCTGTCGACTGTTGGATTCACGATACTTCGTGCCATGCTCTCCAGCTTGCTACTAGTATGTTCTGAAACTTGCATCCCGTCGTGTCTATCACGAAAGTGGCACTTACATCGAAGTGGCACTGCTGACGATGCCGAGGTGCTCCCCTTGTAGTCATGACCTGCAGGCAGCGGGGCCCCCTTTCAACACTCTTTCAACTTGAGGACAGCACTGGTCTGCTAGGTCGGTTTGGGAGACACTTGCAAGCTTTCAACCGCGTCAAGTGATGGTGTTACATGCTGAAGAAAAATGTGTAATAGCGTCTCACCTGCCTACGGTGGGTGAAAGCAAAAATGCCACCTGGATAGATCTTCGTGTCCTCGGGCAGGGTGAAGATCTTCTGGTGAACCATGTCATAGAGTCGCGCAGCATCGCCCTTGCTAGGCGGGGCTCACGTCTCTTTGAGGCAAGTTACCAGGCATTGCGGCAATTCGAGCTCCCACCTGCTGGAAGTCGGTTCTGCCACAGCCTCGAATCAGCAAGGTATCACCTCGCCGGCGCGCAAGACTCGACCCGAAGTTGAAGCGGCGAGCAGTTGCGGCTGGGGTTACCACCGGTGAAGACTGCCTTGGGGGCATCTGGCCCGTGCAGCACGAAACACATGCCTGAGCCGACGAAGCACAGGGCCAATAATAACAGTCGGATGCTGGAAGCTTCTCTTCTGCCCTGCGGAATCCGTGTTGCCAAGACGCAACCGTCTGTGTGTCCCGGTGTGGCCAGCGCCTCGAGGGCCTGCGAGCAAGACGAAAGCCTCGAACGCCTTTCTGTCCCTCTTCCCTCCTCCCTCCCGCTGAAAAGCTGACAAGCGGCATACTCGCCAAACTCGATCCTGTCGCCATCCTCCGAGCAGGAACGTGCCAACGCAGTGCAAACGTGGCATCTCGCAGGGAGGCGGCGGTTAGCGTTAGCTCCTTGAGCTTGATATCTGCGGCCGCGCCGGAGGCTTCCGAGATCATCGTCTTCACCTGTTCATGGAAAAGACGGCCCTCGAAATCCCCCACCCTACCAGAGGGCCTCCGGATGGAGCTTCTTGATGGCACCACCAGAGGTGATGTGATCTGCATGGCAATGGGTGTTCACAACGTACTTGACCTCACAAGAGAGCGTAGTGGGGGCTCGAAACTGTGCCGCTTCGTACTCGACCGCTCGCCTTGAAGCCCAGCTCCTCCGCCAGGCCCAGATCCCGGCCCTCCATGCCCAGAACCTGAAGTGAAGGAGCGTAGCGGAGAGGAGGGGAGCGTAGGGAGTTAAGTCCTTCATTCATCAGATTCAAGATATCGGATCTTGCCAAGGATCTGGATCGATAAGCACCGCTTCCTGGCTGTGCGCACAGCCGAGGAGGTAAGAGAACGTGGAGCTGCCCTGGCAAATCAGCGCTGTGCACCCGGACAGCCTAAGCCCAAGCGCTTCACGGGCCTTGTGGTCGAAAAGCTGCTCAATGACTGCTGACTTCGTGGGTGCAGCAGCGTGCTGCCCCTGTCGCCCATGGAGCACAATGAAGTCAAGCGCGACTTTGTTTGCTTCAGGCCTCCTCGTTGGGTGCGGGCAGCTGGTCGAGCACCCAGTCCTTGATGGGCCCGCACCTCTGAATTTCATCGGATGGCATTCCAGCGATCTCCCGAGCCCCGGAGGCCAAACTCCTGCCCCAAAAATCTAGGAAGGCAAGACGCTCGGAGCACTTCGTCCAGAACTTGAGGTCTAAGTCCTCCGCCAAAAGAGACGCAGATGCCCTGCATCACACAGATTGAGCAGCGAGACAGGGCGGTCTGGAGGGGCATGTCTCGTCTCTTTATGTCTCTTCGACCTCGAAATGTCCCGAGTTCTAGGGATGCAGCAGCTGCGAAAGACCAAATAGTGAAATCCATGGTTCGCGAAATCCAAACAAATCCGTCTCGACTTCAGACTCCCACACCATGCAGCGGGCCGAGCCTGTTGTGCCCCAGTGCTTTGGCCTTTGCAGCAGGACCCGTAGGTGCATTTCGTCTTTCTCTGCCCCCTCTCAGCCTCCCAGCCCCAGCCTGCGCCAGCAGCAGCGCGGCACCGGCGCGATTGGCCGAGGTGCACTGAACCATCCTGGGGTGGAGGTCGAAAACGAAGCAGCGAACCGCCCCCTACGGGCTCTGCAATGCTCTGCAGTGGTGTGGCCAGGGCCGAGGCAGGGGTCTCGGGAGCCGGTCCATGGCGGCCACGACCTCCAGCACTCAGAAAATGGGCACTCTGCTCTGTCCAAATTTCGACTTCGACGCCAAGGCACTGATGCCGCATGCTCTGCTGTGGCTTTTTGGCTGCCAGCAGGGTTTGGGATGGGCGCCACTTCCACCTGCGTCGTGGTGTCTGGGGTCTTGGATCGAGTGGTCCGAATCTCTCTGCCCCCGTCCTTGCACCCTGCAGCTTCGATCTCCTTCTTGTGGAAGTGCTTGTTCTCCTTTGCTTCGGGGTGACATCTTCAGAGTCGCTCCATCATTCGCCGAGACACTGCTGGGTTGAGGTAGAGCCAACCTTTGTAACGTGGAGCAAGCTGTTCGATGATCGCCACGTCGAGGTTTCCTGCTGGAGTACAGCAGCACCCAAACAGCTGTACGAAAGCCGCGATGCGGGGAATCCGTCGAAACTCCAAACCCCCTTCCACGCCTGACAGGCTAACGTCCCCCGGGATATTTGGCGTGCTCACACCGAAGAGCTCGGGCTTGAGGCCTTGGAATCTGACGAACAGCGCCGGTTCGCTTGAACTGAACTTCACCAAACTATTTTGCACGTGCAACGCATGAATCATGCATGTGCACTGCGTGCATGCCCCTGATCAGTCCGTGCTACTGTCGGTCGTGGAAGCAGCGCCCTGGGTCGAGGCCTCACCTGAACAGAGCGGCCCAAGACTAAGAGCCAGACTCACAGAGCAGAAGCAAAGCATAGCATGAGGCTCTTACCAAGCTCTGGCTCTGGGGATTAACAGAGGTCGAGCTTTCCTTCTCGAATCGCTGACGGAGCTTCTGGGACTGCCCCAACCTTCCACACGACTCGCACATGTGCCTGGCCTGCGCCGGCTATCGGCACGGAAGCCTCTGCAAGGTCATTCTACTACACCTCCACCCTCACAGCCAACATCAAGTGTCGTGATCTTGTCTCCATTAGCAAGTAGAAGGCAGCTTCGCCAATTCTCCCGCCTTCAGTGCAGCGGTTTCAGACGGTGGCGCTGCCTGCAGCCACATGCCGGTAGGAAGCTTCAAAACGCTCACGCAAGCAAAGTAAGCGAATCAGAACTGACTGCTTAATCCATCGCAAATTCCTCCAATTGTCTGACAAATTTTAGCGGGCATCGACTTCTCATGTGCATCACGAACAAACTAGCAGCCGTGAATGCTGATGTGTCGCAGAACGGCAGGAGCCCTGACGACAGCACAGCACGCTCACTTGCTGATCCCCAAGAAACGAAGCCGCTGCAGAGGTTGAAACCTGAATCTTGCAGACGGTCTGGCCTTGAAGGCATTCGGCTTGGCGGCCTCGGGCCGTCAAAAGGAAGGAACTACTTCGGTAGCTCGCTTAGACCCGGCCTTGGCCTTGTGCTTCACCGGGGGCTCAAACCACATGTACTTGCCGTACCTCAAAAGCCGTGGCTGTGCATGCTACGCATGCCATGCCAGGAATTAAGATCACTTGTGTCTGCAATTTTGGCTGCGCTTAGCGCTGTTGTCTTTATATTCGGTGTCGCTTGTGCCTTTAGGCTTGTCTCGATGCAACAGTCTCGAACGAAAACCCTCTTTTTCCAGCCGTCTGACAGGTTCGTTCTTTACGGTTCAAGGGGGGCTTTGGTGATGCCTTCATTCGGGGCCGGGGTTTGGCTGTTGGATTCGGTCTATGGGCTTCCGGGTTGGGGTGCAGGTGGTGGATGATGCTGGCTTTATTCCATAGGGGGCTTCGGTCTGTCTGTGCGTTCGCTTTCGGAGCTTTCTGCTCGTAAGGTTTGGGCTTTCGGAGTTAAGGGCTTATGATAGGCTTCTGTTCGTCTGGTTTAGAGTGGGGAAGGAGGGTAGGACCGACTCATTTTAGTGTTTCCCGCCTTCGGTTTACGGTTTCGGCTATCTTAGGTTCTACGCTTCCAGTTTGAGTCTTCGGCTTCCAAGTTGGGGTTTGGGGTCGGGTTCGCTCTTCAGGGTTGCCAGTTGTTGGCCTTGTTGGAGGGGTCCAAAGCTCTGAGCAGCAACAAGAAGAAACAAAGAAGCTCCGATCACGAGTTGGGCTCGTGCCCAGTCAACTCTTTGTTTGTTGCCGTTGCTGAGCTTCTGCTGAAGATACAGAAGACTGCATTTCTTCGGGTTTTCAAGACATGCCACTTGAAAAGCGCAAGCGACATCAAAGACGAAGACACAGGGACACCAACCAAAAACGACACAAGTGATGCCCCTTCCCGATGCCAGGCCTAAACGAACATGAGCGACAGCGCATACAAGCTGTTGGAGAAGCAGGTGCAAGACGTTGCAAACCATTTCTCTGGACTGCCAATCAGCAGTTGAGGTGCCATCGTCCTAGGGGCATAGAATGCCAGTAGACGTGCTCGAAGACGTACCGCTTCCTCGGGTGAGATTTGCTTCACAGGATTCTGTTCCGTGAGTCTCCATGCCCGACCTGATGAGCCAAGTATCAACCAATAAAACAAAGTGTTGGGCTTTGTCTGGTCTAGCGGAACGAAGGTCGGAGTGGCTTCCTCGGTAGCAAACGTCAAAGCCCAGTGCAAGTTGGCGCTCTGCATGTCCTTCTTCTGTTCGTCAGAACACTGCCTGCATCGCAAGACTCCATCGTGTAGCCGTTGAACTCCGCGAGCAGCAGTTTGCTGTCCTGGCTCTGCCAAGTCGCTTCTGCGGCTTGCCATTTCACTCTCATGAATGTAATCGTTCAAGCGCTTCGAAGTCTCTATGAGCATCCAAGCGGCCCCCAGAAGCACGGGACATGCTGTGTAGCCATCGTAGGTGGAAGTGGCCTCCATGCCGGACAGCAGGGCCTGCACCTTTGCCGACAGAGCCCTGTTCCGGTCCTCCGCACATCTCCGCACTCTGCTCATCCCTGCTCTCCGAGAGGCGTTGTAGGTGACGACCGGAGCCTGGGATGAGATGGCCGAGTACGTCCTGAGCAGTCGAACGGAGAGTTGAGATCACAGCCCCCTTCGCAACGCGTCGATTGTTGCTTCCTCCGCTTCCGAGCGGCTTCGAGGTCGGGAGCGAGGAGCAGTCACCGAGGGAGAAGACGTTGGAGAACTTGTTGTGCTGGCAAGTCTCCTGATGCGAAAATGCAACCCGGCTTGCAACCCGAGCCCGGCTGAAGCACTGTCACTCTGGCACCTCATAAGATAAGACAGAATTCCTAAGCCAACTCCCAAGCTGACTTCCTTGTCCACATCGACGAATCCAGCCGCGTTTGCGAGGGGGCTATTCCTGCATGGAAATGGAGTCCAACTGGAAGCAGGGCAAACAGGTCCTGTACACGCCTGATGAAGTCTGGTGCACTCATGGGAGGCGTGACATGCAGAAAGTCGAACTCTTTCGTCAGCAACTCACCACCTGTCGCGAGAGGCGGGCAACAAGCCGGCAGTGGTTCAGGGATGGAGCACAGCTTTTTCGACCTGCCTTCCCTTTCAAAGGTCGCGATCTTCCTGTCAGGCCACATATCGGAAGGCCGGATCTCTGGATATAAAAGAGGGCATACATCGGTGAATCCTGTCTAAACAGCCTGGCCTCTCACCATCGACTTCGACGAGATTCGTCTTGACGTGCGGAGTGATGTCTTGGATGATGCAAAGCCACATTTCTGTCTTGTACAATGGCTAGCAGCTAGCAGTAATCATTCCTGGTGTCGGCTGCAAGCTACTCTTCTCAAACTATCTCTCAGCTGACATTTTCCATGAATGGCACACTTCCAGGCCAGGGTTCTCTTGGACCTCATGACCTTCTCCAAGGCTACCCGGTACTCAGGGCAAGCGAAGATGCCTCAGAGAGAACGAAAAAAGAAACAGATTCCAGATTATGCAGCCACACGTGCCTGGGGTTGCCGTGCAGAACTCAACCTCGATGTTGTCACGAACTCCTGAAATGCCCGACTGGCATGAGATGGCATGAGGCTGATCCCAGATCCGAGAGAAATGCATCCTCGTTGACGCCATGCCGCTTCGGCCAGGTAGCAAATCCTGAAACAATCAGTTTCAGTTCTGGGTTGGGCGTCACTTGTTGGCTGATCTGCATGCTGTCTTAGTCTCTTCTGCGGTGCTCCACCGCAGTTGACGGCTGTGCCCGGGTTGGTGAAGATGGCTTTCCCTCCCACGGGTGCACTTGCAGGTTAATCGCTCTGTCCGCAACGCTTCGGGATTGGAAACGGAAGTTGCTATGCAACATCTTGAAAAGCTCAAGGATCGAAGCTTTGTGTGCATTAACCAGGCTCGCATGCTGAACACACAAGAGTGGGTGGGTGCCTTTCCGCATGTTCTGGATGTTGGCCCAAACACTCGGGGAGTAATCGAAGGAGTAGATCGAGGCAACCTTGGCTTGTCGACCCAACCCGGACTCCGATGAAGGGGTTGCAGCAAACAGATGACAATTTACAGTCCAGGCACGCCATTCTTTCCCATGGTCTCCGGGAGTCCTGCCCAGGCCGTGAAGGAGCCGTTTAGACTGGGCTCACGAGCTCAGTGCTGGACCTGTGACAGCTCCAAAGTTCTGCTGCAGGCCGGCAGCAACGACCAGGATATCGTACTCCTCAGGCCGTGCTCAGCTTGATCGGGTATGGGATGCCGATAGCTACCTCTCAACTCTCGACTTCTCAACTTAACATCATCTAGGCATGGTCACTGGATATTTCGGCGTTGCTTCAGCACGCGAAAGGGGTCGCAACTGACTGCCGACGGTAGCCTTCAAGGATGGGCGAGGAGCGATCTGCTGGCCGCTGGCCAAGGTCAACTTGTTCTGCTCCGGCTCGAAGGTCAGGCACTTCTCCTGGCGAGGCTCAGCGTCCAATCCTCAATTCGCGAAAAGGCTTGCAACCTTCAACCTTCAAAGCAGAAGCCAACTTAAAGGATGTGTTGTGATCAGACAATAAAGAAAGTAAGTTCGCTTGATATTTAATTTCTCCTTGATCCACTGCACGTGGTGAGGCATCACCTGGCCACGCATTGCAAGCCAATCGTGAGTCTCCACTGACATCCCAGCCCGAAACTTCAGGCCCTGCCTGCTCCATCGGTCGTGCGGAGTTCTTGACCTTTATCATGTCACGTTGGGTCAACTCACAAGTCAAGCTCCAGGCACACGTCCGGGCAAAGCGCATCCAGTCCCAATCCACCGACCATCGTCCAGTAGGGCATGTACAGGTGCTGATCCTGACATCCAAGCTTACATGGCCTGAGTGAGCCTCTTTTTGACTGCTGTTCGGGTTCTTACAGGATCTCGTCGGGTGGTGTTTTTCTGGCTCAAGCCAGGCCATGATGACATGAAGAGAACATCAGCTGGCGAGGTGTCCCTGGGCTCGATGACCGCGATGCTGTTGTGCTCACCTCGCCGAATCGTCGAAACGTCGCAGGATGATGTTGTGGACACTGCGGCGGCTCCAAAGCAACACGAAAGTCATCTGACGCGCTTTCTTCTCTTTTCTGAACCAAGATGCTCTTCGGTAGCTTTCTGCACAGCTGCGAAGCCACCTGAGAACTCGCAAGAACCAGAATCATTTCCACGGGCAAGGTCCTCGAGCTGCTGCCAGGGTACGGACACGCCTGAGGAACCTTTGACCCATCAGCCCAAACAAAGCACAACGGTCGTTCTGTCAGTCCGCGGCTTGCGCGAAGCATCTCGACCTCCTCACTGCTTCAACCGTGCGGACAAGGAGCCTCCACCGATGATGGCAATCCGGTACTTTGCTGCCTTACTTACATGTTTGAGCCACTGGCAGACATTGTTTGGGGCGGCAAGGGCAACTCTCAAGTCTGTGCTGCAAACCCTCCTGCACTGCCCGATTGATTGCAGTTCGAGTGGCGGGTTGCACCGGCACGGCGCGGTGGCCCAGTTGCCGTGAAATCACGCCCAGCATCCCCCTCACCGTGCCGCTACGCTTCATGGTCTCCTCTGGGCGCAGCTTGAGTCTGGTCTTGTGGAAAATCCGGATTTGCAGCCGTATATGGTAGAGTCTCTTGGAAGCTCCAGTAACTGGCTGGGATATCCCACAGCCCTTTCCTAAACATGTCAAGCCTTTCATGCAGGTTCAAGATTTATCAACGAAAAGCTGTGGAAGACTTGTCTGTGCTTGTCACAAGCACCCCTGACAAATCCATCCTGCAAGCGGCGTGCGAGTGGCACGTGGCTGCACGTGGAGTGGACCGTAGGCTCGAGAGAAGCGCTTGCGGAAAGGGCTTGAAAACAAAACATGGGAGTCAGCACTCGGGACTCGCCTTGCCCACTGCCAGGTTTGTGCGGAAATGTGGTGAACTCAAGCCATCTCCGTGAGTCGCAAACACCACCTTCTCAACTCGGGGGCCGGACTGAAAATGAAGGCCCAGCAGCGCACTCCCAAACGATGATGCTCTCATCCTTCAAGGCAGAGAACGAACACGCCTTTGCCGCTTTCGCAGTCTCAAGCAACTTTGGCAACAGAAATACCACTGGTCTGCCAAGCCCACATGTCTGCAAAAGTAGACCGTGAGAGCCTTCGACGAAGATGCTAGGTAGCGGCCGTCGTCTGTGACGACCGCAAACCAAACCTCGTCTCGATGATGGTTCAGCCTCGTCGGGAATAGTCAGCTCGCTGCAAGCTGCAAGAAGCAGCTGAGCAGCAGAGCCTTGCGGCGCAGTGGATGGGCAGAGCCGGCCTCGGAGGAGAGAGCCAGGGCCGAGACCGCTTTCCGCTCTCTGACTCTCTCTCCGCTCTCGCTCTCTCTGCATCTTTTTGAGCGAAGGAAGGTGCGCGGTGTAGCTGTAGTCCTTGAGCAGGTTCGGTCCGGAGGACCTGGGCTGCACCCCGTGCGACGTTTCGCTAGGACGTGAAGGTTGGCTTGGTGCCCGGCAGCAGCGTCGGGTCCATGTCGGTGGACAAACAGTGGAGCTGCTGATACCTCAGCCGTGCGGCTGCTCCGCCGAGTTCAAATTGAAAGACGTTCTTCTGACTCGCCGGTCGCAGATATCTGGTGCTTGCAGCTGCCCCTCGCCCGTCGACCGGGACTGTGTGGGGCTGAGGGCGACTTGAATCGAAGAGCTTGTAGCAGCATCTACGTTCCTTCATGGCAGAGCCACGGATTCGTGCCGTACGGACACATTGCCCCCAGATGCAACCAACTTGGGGCCAATGGCCAGGCTCCTTGGACTCCCTTGGACTCCCTTGAACTCCCTTGGACTCTCAGGAGTGTAGTGGTTCGGACCTTCCACCGGTTTTGTAGTCTTTGCCGATGTTTGCCGATCGCTGAGGGCCTGACATGAGGTTCGGATCGAGATCCGTGTAGAGGCAGTGAAGCTGCTGATACCTTCCCAAGTGACCATTGTCCCATTCGCAGATCGCCACAACTTTTTCAGCTGACTGTAGCCACCAAGATATGCGATATGAAGCAGGTGCACTTGCTCTGCCGGCGGCATACGCCGCAGAGCCCGCCTGACCGCTTGCCACAGCAGCGCGCAGAGGCGGCGCGGGGGAAGAGCCAAGTCCGCGGGGAGCAGCTCCACCTTCCAACCCGAAGACCCAGAGATCCAGACCGAAGACTTGCATCCGCTGAAGTGCTGGGCTCGTGCAGGGCGCGGGGTGCAGGGAGCGAGGGGGGCAGCTCAGCATCTGGCCAGCCGATCCGCAACGTCGCCACGAGACGGCGAGGAGTCTGCGAGCTCCTGGGCGTGAGACATGTATCGGTATTCTTCTGTGAATGCCTTGCGTTGTCATCTCCGACGACTGCTCGCTGTGTATCGCTCGCAAACTGGGAGGCGTCTTTACGAAACTGGTGCATGCCTTGCCGAGTGCATAAAGCTGTTGAGTTTGGCACCTGCAGTAGGATTGTCTTGCTGCGTTCGTGTGCATTTGTTTGCCGCTTCCGTGTCAATTACAGGCATCCTTTGGGGACAATCTCGTGCACCTCCGTAGCGCATGTCGTTTGCTGGAGGCTTCTTGCCGTTTTGCTGGAGGCCCTTGACTTCCTTCAGGTCCTGTTGTGCTCGTTTCGTGCTGTTGTGTTCGCCACGGTGTCTGACTGCGGCCATGCCACTCTACAAGGACTCTCTTCTAACATGACGCCTTCAAAAGAGCCCCGAAATTCTCGTTGTTCCTTCCTGATTGTCTACCTAACTGATCTGTTCTCTGATGTTTGCTGACACGTTTTGGACATGTTTGGCAGTTGCAGCGCTTCCCTCTTTGGGGAGACTTTACAGCGGGTCTCAGGGGCTTTGGCTTGACTTGGGTTACGTTGGCGTGACTTGGCTTCAGCAGGGGGGTGGGGAATTGGGGGATGGAGCGGCTTGTGCCCTCCTCCTCTCCGTGCAAATCTGCCAGTGAAAGATTGCAGACGATGACGAAACAGAAGACATCATCCTTTATTGTCACGTCAGCGAGGGCAAATGTTATTGCTGTTGTCATTACCACTTTGCAGCTTGCCCTCCTCACAGGAGTGGCGGTGCAAATCTGCAGCCCCGAATAAAGAGCCGAGAGGCCTGGAAGGGAAGTCAAGAAGCTGCGAATGCAAAACAAAAAAACAGCTGACAAGGAAGAAAACTGGAAGCCAGCCGAAAGCAGAAAGAAAACAACAGGCAAAAATGAACCCACAGTAAGCAAATACAGCTCCTTCGACCTCACTCGGACTTGGACTGAATACTGCACACAGTAGCGCAGGAGATTGCTGGACCAATACACTTGGATGCTTGAGATCTGCATGAGATGTTTCCTCTGGATCCTGGCAAAGGATTTGTTCGTGCCAGATGCTTCCGGGATCCTGGCTGAGGCTTCTCTGCTCGGGAGCAAAAGAGGTGCCCGCCCTCTGCCCCCAATGTGCGCTTGACACGCTTGGGGCGCGTGACCGAACCAGGGGCATCAAGAGAAAAGACGAGTGCAACAGAGAGCAACGACAACAAACGTGCTATACTGGCACTACGAGTAACCCGTCCTGTGGAGAAAGGTCCAACTGCTGCGATAGATCTTCTGCTCCATCCTCGGATCCATGATGGACACGTTTCGTGCCAAATATCTCTCGCCTGGCATCTTACTGATGTAACGAAAGAAAAGCGGATAAGGACCCCGGCGGTGCCAGCGATCTCCGCAAAGATCTCCTTGGCGGCCTCCGAAGTGCAAGGAGACTGGGCTTTTCCATGACGAACGGTAGAACAACTCGCACTTATCTGAAATTCTGAATTGCGGATATGTTCATGCGAACCAGATGAGTCAGTCATCCCATCACAGGCGCTCTTCACACTCTGTCATGGTCTGGTGGCTTGCAGAAACTGCTGGCCTCCACTTCCCCGCTACGGTGAAGGTCCAAACACTTCCTGGCAACATCTTTTACTCGCTGAAACGCAACGGTCATGATCCTGGTGAAAAACCAGCCGCAGCGTGAGAATGCAGGCAAGCGGCTGCTCCAGTAGCGAGACCCGGAGAGCAGCCTCTGATCGTGAAGCGACTTTCCCCTACCCTGTGCGCTCCTCCTCACATTTGATCGCTGAGCACCGGACGGCCGCCTCTCCCAGCGTGCTTGGCGGCTCCTCTGCGAGCCGGCGGACCACTCCCAGGGCCTGCGACTCGACTGCGATCACGCAAGCTGACTCTGCCACTGCAGACCCCCAAACCTTTGAGTCCGAGGCTTCTCTGAACATGCCGCCCGAGTTGTTGTCTTCAGAGTTTATTACTCGTAGCTGTAGCTTCTGATCAGGACGCCCAGTAGAAAATCTTCTATCATGCTGTATGCTGCCAGCAACCTGCCTCAGCATTGTGCACTAGTTCAAGCCGCAAACTCACCCAAGATGAGGAAGCCGCTCCACAAGCTGAATATGATGCCATGGCAGCACATGCTAGCCGATCATTGGAAGGCTCTCTGCACACGCTCAAAACAGGCTTATGATCCCCAATCCCTCCAAAATCCCAAATCCACGGAATGCCAATGCAACAACACGCGAACAAATCAATATCGACAATGTTGAAATCCATCCCAAATGCATCGGAGAGGTGACGGCTGCGTTTTCCGGGACTTGCTCGGTCAGGTGGATATCCGGTACATGTTCACTTCCGTTAGTACTTTGCACAGTTGTTCATTTTCCGGCATGTTTTTGCATGTTGTCGCATGTGTTACGCATGTTTTGATTTTCCTGATGGAACCCCTGGCCCGAAAATGCAACTATCCTGACCATGGCCCTTGGTGGTTTGCCCTGCCACAAAACATGCAATTACCAAGCGCATCTAATTTGCATTTATCCGCATTCTGCTGACTGGGATGGATCCAGCCAGGTGCTCACGCTGTTAACCTACAGGCCGCAAACACACCACCGGTCTTGGCTGCCTCATCCCAGTTGCCAGCAATCGCCGAGCGCCTGACAAACGTGCAATCTCCGGAGTCCGACTCGTTCAAAGCTTACCTTGCATCCGGCCTTAAGTCAGCTTACGGCCGCACGACAACATGTTCCGCTGGAATCCATGATGAGACGCACACACAGCTGCAGACAGGAATGCAAGACGAAACGGTCGAGTCTGGCAGACAGCGATGCTGACATCACCCTTTCCCTGTGCCACCCAGTTTTGACGTCTAGTCCCGATTCCTGCCTGAGATCAGTCACGATGCTTGCCTCTCCAACTATGCCAGACCTTACACGATGACAGAGCCATGGTGTCGCAGGCAGAACCTATGTAGACAAGCATGGAGTTGCATTGAGTTCCCATGTCAGAGACGGAAAAAGCCTTTCTATCCGCTGCGCCGCCCGCATCCTCCGACGGCTTTCCGAAGTCGCAAAATCCAGTATTTCCTGCACTCACGAACTTGACACGCGCGCGGTGCCTTGTGATGCCTTGCGTCGCTTGGGGTGTTTTTGGGCGAAACCGCAGTTCTGTCTCGCGTTTTCTTCAATCCGCCCGATGTCGAAATTTGGCGAAGTTCGAAAGGTTGCTCCCGCCACTGTGCCACATCGTCTGCCTGCCACAGTCCCCTCGCGTGTCCGCCCTCCGAGATCGTGCTCCGGCCACAGCACCGTGCGTATTGTGACTGCAACTCGTACTTGCGTCTCCAAAAATCGTGCTCCCGCCAGAGTCCCGCCACGGGTCGGTGCGTTTCAAATTATGGTTGTTGGGTTTTGTGGGGCTTCGGCTGGCAGGTAGGTGCTCTTCCAGTCTTTTTGGGGTCTTCGCTCCTATCACTGACAGCTCGGATCCAGACTCCGTCTCTAAGGCCGCCCGGGTCACTTCGAGGCCCAAATCTCCCAGCGCCTGAAGGTCCGAGAAGATTCTTGTCAGACGTCGCCAAAGACCCTCGCATCAGCTGCGCACTTGGCCGATCAGGCGAATGAGGTCAGTCCGGCGCAATCCATCGAAGGTTGGCCTTGGCTTCAGATTTCACAGCTCCTGTACACTCCCCTCACAGCTCCTCTCCTCTTGTTGTCCGTCGCAACTGCATGGAAGTTGCGGTGAGAATGCAAAGAGGATGTCCGCCGGTCCCTGCTGGGCTTCCCGGCTCTTTCTCTTCTTGGGAGGTCGAGGATGCTGACGAGCCCAGCGCTGTGCTCGACGAGCTTGGAAGTTCCTGTCAGCCGCGGCAGTGGCGTTCCACTGAGAGCCGGATGCCAGCCAACATGTAATCACGTTGGAAATCCTGCAGTCTGCATGGTTACCCCGCCCTTTTTCACAGGTTAGTTCTCCTTCTCGTGGCTTGGATCATCTAATCGGAGATCACAAGCCTGCTGGCACAGGGTTGCAGCGCTCTTCGACTCAGACTCAGCTGCTGGCCTCGGCACCCCCCGAGCCACGCGGCCTCCAACAAAGAACTCTGACGGCCTATAGGGCCTGGGCCTAGACCAGACTCCACACGTCGCCGCAGCCTCTTGACCGAGGATGCTGCAGCCTGCCACTGGAGACTGGGAAGCATGTAAGTGGCTACTGTGGGGTCCACAACAACCCACACCTCTTCAACAACTGCTCAGTAACTGCGAACTGCCACACTCTGCCACTATCTACTATCTCTCTTTTAAGAAATATGACTTCTTCTTCTTTCTTCGCGCGATTCGTGCAGACGTCTTACGCTCGGCTTCCGCCTCGCTGCGCCGTGGCGGCTCGGAACCTCGCCTGCCGAGGGATCTGCTGAGGGATGATGAGGATGTGATGAGGTTGTGATGTGAATCATTCGAATGTGTGAGAGAAGACCTTCAAAATGGCTAAGATGTGAAACTGCTGATGCTGGAGACGACAATGATAGTGAGGATTGAGCCAGATACCCAACCTCTAGCACGACACAAGTGACTTGAAACTCTCGACCCGGAACCGTTGCGCGTAGAATCCTTGCGTCTCCCCCGGATCAACATCGGCTGAGGTCGACGCTTTGTTGCCACCATGCGTCTGCGGCAACAAGCTCTATCCATGACTTCAAGGATCTAGACAGCGATGTGGTGTTATAGGTGCCTAGCCTTCCTAACCCTAGCCGTCGAAGCTGCTAGGAATTTGGCAAATGCTGGGCTGGTAACCTAAGGACAAAGCTCGGAATTGAGGAAACTGCCGTGTGCTTGCGCGGAGGCTGCATTGCGATTGACATCATTGCACATGTCATGCAGGCCATCCATGTCTGATGTCGTCCGGCTTGCGCTCAAGAGCTGCAGAGTGTCTTGCAGGTACAGCGGCCGCAACTCGGGCGAACAGTTACAACAGAGAACTCACCACACAACCGTCCTCACTTCCTAAAGACAAAATCAAAATCTCCCATGTGGCCACGATCCCGGCAAGACTTACACGACATCCAGTGTGCGTCAACAGTTGGCAAAGCCTGCCGCGCTGTTTGATCTGCGATGCGGAGTCGGGAGATCGCCAGCCCGCTTCAGGCTCCTTCTTGGATCGACCAACTCGCTTGTCTGCCAGCGAGACTTGACTCACGGGTGTTGTGCAATGAAAAGGCTAGTAATTTCCGACTAATCGTCACACGTTCGACGAAAGATGATGGATGCTCCGTGTCTGCAATGTGTCTCCTTCTCATGTTAGAGGCACAGCACGAGACTCACAACGGGGCAGCCTTCGACGATTGTATCATGACTAAAGAGCGAACCCGGTTAGGGCTTGACCATGTCCAGGCCTAACCGGGCTCGCTCTTTAGTCATGACGTACTCGTCGAAAGCTGCCCGAAGGTGAGCCTCGTGAGGTGCTTCCGATTTTATGAGAGAGAACACACCCGCACACACGACATACCCTGTCAGAACACCTGCCCCGAGATCTGATCTTTCTGCGTCCACGGCTGCGAGCTCGGTGATCTGGCAGCGTTGTTTCCACCCCCACTGATTGTGTGGGGCACCTGGAGCGTGCAGATGGGCATGGACCGACCGCAACCACCTGCACCCATCTAACGTATAGAGTATACATAGTATACACCTTCGATACTCCTGCCACCGGACCTTCGCTTTGGATCTGCTCCCGACCTGGGCGAAGCTGAACGCAGCGGCCCTGGATGCCCCTTTACACCGAAGCCTCTCCCCTCTCATAATCATTTATACTTGGAGCAGTCCCGGGGTCAATGCTAGTGCACAGAATTCAAGTCGTGACCGATTCCTTGTGTGAATCTGAGGGCTCTCAGCGACACCTCACTTGGTTCGGCTGCTACGGCGATGCTCGCGGGTTGACTGGACTTTGCAAGGGGAGGCTGCAACGTGCTGGCGATCCCCAGTCTGCGAAGCACATCGAAACCCCTGTTTTCCTCGAAATACTCTGAACGATCTGGAATCACGCGCCTGCCTTCGTTGCCCGTGTCATGCGATTTTTTGGGCTTCCAGTGTCCATGCTTATCACAGGCATGACCCGGTCAAGCAAAGAGAAATGCAGGCAGGGAAGTCTACCTCCGGCCATGCCGGCCGTCTGTCCTAAAATCGCCAAGCTGCGGATAAGACCGCAGAGGAACCGGCTAATGACTTGTACCATCCGACAAAGTTCATATCGCCAGTGTCTTGGCAGAGGAAGGGGGGAAGGTGGAAGTGCGACAAAACTCCAGCAGTTGCAAGTCAGGCAAGCTGCTGGACCCTGTGCCTGGTCCTTTCAAAAAAATGCCAAGCCAAGCCAAGCCAAGCATGCACGTGCGTGCTTTAGACGCACGAACCCACCAGGGCAGGTACCCTCGTGCCTCCCACCGGAAAGATTCCTTCAAAGCAAAGTATTTGGGATGATATGCCATTCAGGCGTGTTCTTCCAGTTGCACCACAGCCCAACATCAGAAGGGTCTCTGCAGGCAACGAAGACGAGTTGAAACACTTTACATGGTGGCTTGAAACGAAGAACCGGATAAAATCGAGGAGGCTGCACACCACTGAGGCGGCCTATACAAAGTGCCAGCGGCCTGTCATGATTTGAAGACCGATCCCAACTGGGAAGAGCCATGCATTCAGAAGTCAGAAGCCGTGAAGCTAAAGCAAGTGTCCTCCATTCCCTCTACTTTCCAACAGGCTCCGCAATGCTCCGCATCTCGGCATCTGAAATCAATACGAATTCAGCTCGCGCGTGCGAGGGCACCCTCAGCTTTTCAGGAGTTTTCAGCGACCTCTTCTCCAGGCAGATCATTGCAGACCGCACTCAGCGCGGGGATGCTCCGTAGCCTGAGACCCAATCGCAATTCTGACAGTCCTTGCAAGCGCCTTGCGGGTCATACGCAAACCGTTAACCCTTCCTTGCATGAGCCAGGTGGATCTCATGAAAATGCACAGATAAGATCCGACAAGTGCACGTACAAACCTGAATCCACAAGCAATGATGCTCCAAGCCTGACTTGCCATGGCAGATGCGGCAGATGCAGCCAAGTTACACCACCCGGCCGTAGCGGGAGCGTGACAAGGCTGAAAGGTTCTCCTGCATAGTGTCCAAGGCCTTTGCAAGCATCTCCCCCTCCAGGACATGAAGCAGAGTCAGGGCTGTCTGGTGGCCATGCCGAATTTTGGACATGGCAAGGAGAAGCCCCGGCTGCGACAAGAGCCCATTTGCCAAGCTACTCTTATCCTCGGGACACACATGGGCCAATGCCTTCGCCAAGACGGCACTGGCGTTCTGGTCCGTGGCCAGATCAGCAGCCTGGACCTTTAGAAGCTGGCAGAGCGAGTGCCGCTGAGCGGGCGTTCCGTGGCTGAGGATCCTCTGCATCACGAAGTTGCCGTACTGATGCCGGACAAGCTGAAGCCCCTCCTTCAGCAAGAAATCCACCATTCCCATCGTCTGCTCATGTCGGAGATGCTCCAGGAGTCGTTGCATGATCCGGCATCCATAGCGGTGGCGTGCCAGCTGCGAAGCTGCCCGCCTCCCCTGGGAAGCGATCTCCTCAATGATGAACTGACAATCACGTGGCCTGAGCAAGGTGATGAACCTCTGAAGGACGTAGTTCCCGAAGGGGCAGCGGGCTGCCTCCCAGACATGTCCAGCCATCTCCTGTGCAAGTGCATTTCTCTCCTGGTCGGAGACGCAGGCATCGATGGCTTCCTGCACACGGCGGCATCCGGTCTGCTTTTGGCAGAGCTGCCACACACGGCCTTGGACCTGGGGTGCTCCCTCCGGAGTCGGCGCCAAACTTCCCAGAAAGACAGGAGTCATGGATCGCTCAGACAATCCAAAGGAAGACCCTGATGCGGTGGTGCTCCCGGTAGTCGTTCGACTGAAGCAACTCCCGGAGGGTGTGGGTGGCAGACTTGATGTCTCGGCACTCGCCTCCTGCTCTCTACTTCTCAAGTTCTGGCAGGACACCCCTAAAGTAAGGAAGACCTCGGCAAAACCTTAACGACCCCAACCCTGCGCCGGGCAAATCAAGACATCACAGCCCAAGCTACCAACACCAGCGCCAATAGCACACCCTTAGCCAGCTGAGTTACAGCCATCACCGAAAACTCAGCAGAGCTGTACCTCCTAGGTAACCAAGATCTACGACACACAACGGCCAACGACGCCAAGATCTCACCCTCATGCAATCGTATGACCAATTTGCCACACCTACACCTTGCCTGAACTGGTGCCACAGGTTGTACCGGCTGTATCTGCGGCATCTGGGTCCCTGCCATGATCGGCACAGCATTCGTGAAGGTCATCGGCTGCCTCAGCGCGACCCGGCCGTGCCCCCAGAGGACATGGAGGGAGACGCTTGGAGCTGCTTGCTGCGTGGTCCAAGCTGCCCTCCCTGCACGTTCAAGATTGGTGCAGGCACCCCTCCCTGCACATTCAAGACGACAGCCTAAGCTGACATGGCTCAAGGCCTTCGGCACTTCTAGTCACGTCTAGTAGCACTTCACATGAACCGCAAACTATTTCATGCTAGGAACAACTGCAGGTTGTGGGCACATGAGGAAAGCCGGCATCGGGCCGCACATACCTCCCACCACGGGAACGGCTAGTGGAGCGCCACCTGCCTGCACGAAATTCGCTTGCATCATGGCTTCGGCGACAATAAGCCGGGACTTTATGAGGGGTTGGCACGCGCGTCTGAGCCCAAACGTGCACTCATTCGCAGACACATTGGACGCTGCCGAAAGACACGATTCACCACCCAGAGTCCCCAACACTACGGACTGAAGGAGGTCAATCGGAGTCAAAGTGCATGTAAAACTTGGTCCCCGTCTGACCCTGCGCCTGCTGCGCCTCACGAAATAAGGGGTGCCAGGCTGAGCCCGGTGCTCGAGTACAGCACTCATCAGAATGTCGCCCGCGGCTTGGATCAGCAGCGCGGGACCTTCTCTCACGCATAATCGCACTTCCAAACCTCAATGTGCTTCCCCGCCTTCCCCCAGGTCCCTCGCCGAAGGGCGCATGTTGTCATTCGACAGGATGTCCAGGAAGGGCGATGCCTCATCTGCCTCACGAACGCATGCGCATGCCTTCGTCAGACTGGTCAGAAGCTTCGACCTAGCCATCCATCTTCGAGCGAGCTGCCCTTGTCAGACAACACCACGGCCCGCGTCATGCCTATACAGCCTATACAGTTCATGAGAGCATGACACGGGCCGGCAGGACGCTCTGCTGGGAATTCTACCGCTAGCAGTGCACCTGCCGCTCTTCAAAATTCGCCAAGCTGCGGATAAGACCACAGAGGAACCAGCTAATGACTTGTACCATCCGACAAAGTTCAACTCGCCGGTGTCTTGGCGCGGGAAGGGGTGGAAGCTGAAGTGCGACCAAAATCCAGCAGTTGCAAGTCAGGAGAGCTGCTGGCTGTGCCTGCTGGGATCCTTGCCAAAGAACCCCAAGCCAAGCATGCATGCGCGTGCTTTAGACGCGCGAACCAGCCGGGGCAAGCACCCTTGTGCATGCCCGGAAAGGTTCAAAAAGAGACGGGCAAAGATGCCATTCAGGCATGCTCTCCCAGCCTTCAAAACCGTCCTTGCTGTAAAGTACCCGAAGAGTCTGCACGGAAGCTCCTCGGGAACGAACAGACCTTGAACCTATAGTGCAGTGGCTTGAAACGAACCAGAGGCGGCACGCCGCCGGGGCGGCTCTATACAGGGTGCCAGCAGCCTTGCATGATTTTGAAGGCCTTGTAGCCTGGATCTGGGGGACATGCAGGTTCAGAAGTCGGCAGGGAAGCCCAAAGCAGGCATCCCTGATTCAGGCTTCGCGTCCCGGAATCTGTAACCGATAGCGAATTCCCATGCGAACTCCCTCAGCTTTCAGGAGTCGGTGTCCTCTTCACGAGGCAGAGCGCACTCACCCAAGGCCGGGATGCCTCGCAACCTGGCGACTGCAGACTCTAGACTCGGCACTCTGCCCTCTCCCTCACTCCCCCTGCTGGTGCTAAGCCACTATCACTATCGCTAAGCTCTTGCCGAGCAGCACGACCCGTCCGTAGCGGCATTGCATGAGCGATGCCATGTTGCACTTCATCATGTTCACGGCCTCAAGGAGCTCGTCCCCTTCCAGGGCACGGATCAGCGCCAGAGCAGTCTGATGGCCGTGCCGGGTCTTTGACGAGGCGAGGAGCAACCCAGGCTGCGAGAGAAGTCGCCTGGCTAGGCTCGCCTTGTCTTCCGACCTGCAATGAACCAATGCCTTTGCCAGCACGGCACTGGCGTTCTGGTCTGTGGTCAAATCACGGGCATGAGGCTCGAGGACTTGGCAGAGCAAGTGCTGCTGGGCGGACGTTCCATGGCTGAGGATCCTCTGCATCACGAAGTTGCCGTACTGATGCCGGACGAGCTGAAGAGCCTCCTTCAGGAGACTGTTTGTCACGGGCTCCATTTGCTCTGGCCGGCACTGCTCCAGCAGGCGCTGCAGGATACGGCATCCGTAGCGATGCCGGGCGAGCTGTGTGGGGGCTCGGCCTCCATGTGAAGAGATCTCCTTGATGATGACCTGGCAGTCGCTCGGGCGAAGCAGTGTGATGAATCTCTGAAGGACATAGTTCCCGAAGGGGCAACGCGCGGCTTCCCAAACATGTCCAAGCAACTCCTCCGCCAGGGCCTTTCGCTCCTGGTCGGAGCCGCACTCGTCGAGTGCTGCTTGAACACGACGGCATCCCGTCTGCTGTTGGCAGAGCTGCCACACGCGGCCTTGGACGGAGAACCCTTGCCCTCCTTCTGTTGGCGACTCAATCGGGCTCATGGATCTGTCAGACTCCGACAATCCAAATGAAGATGTTGACAACGCTGATGCGATGGTGCTCCCGGTTGTTTCCCGGCGGAAGCTCTTCTCGGAAGGCGTGGGCGACAGGCTTGAGGGCTCCGAATGCACATCCTCACGGGGCAGCTCGGGTCATTGCGGCATGTCATGGCACAGGCACAACCCCTCTTGCCTGGAACTGAAGTCGCTGCACTGGCGGTGTCTGCTGCATTGGCTGAACCGGCTGCTGCACCGGCTGCACCATGATTGGCACAGCGTTCGGAGCAAACGCCATCGGATGCCTCGGAGTGACGAGCAGTCTTCGTGCAAGATTGCAAGATAGCGCAAGAAAACCCTGCAAACCTTCGTCTGCCCGGCTGCCCTCCTGGTACATTCACGACGGATCCGGGGAGAGCTCCTTGCATGTTCACGACGAAAGCCTCGGCTTGCGTCTATGTAGCACTTGCATGCACTGCGAGGCAGAGTGCTAGGCAGGTCGATCCCTCCATCATGTCATGCTGTTCAAGCGAGGAACAACAGGGGCCTGGCACACCATCGGCATCGGGCCGCACACAGTTCCTACCACAGGCATGGCCATGGGGCCGTGAGCCTGCACGACTTGCATCATGGCTTCCTGGAGTCTGCAGGTGTCGCACGCGTCTGAGCCCAAATGCGCACTTTCAGAGGAAGAGGATAGTAACCGGAAGAATGCTCTCAAGCCTTGCTGCGCACCTCTGATGATGGCTTGATTCGATGCAAGCACAGCATGTGCCTGGACGTGCTCGATGCCTCGTCCACGTTCGAGCACCGAGACGGGCCGTGGTCGTCTTCGACCTTGAGCATATGCACTCTTCGAGAACCACCAGGCACGGAGCTGAAAGTTGCACATCACACACGTCAGGGGCCTCGGGAGTCAGGAGCGAGGTGCAACTGGCATCATTATGTCTCAATGCCCTGTCTCGTCTCTGATCCTCCTTGACTTGTTTGAGACTCTGGCTGGTTCACGCACTAGCTTGAGGTGCTCGAGTACAGCACTCATCAGAATGTCGCCCGCGGCTTGGATCAGCAGCGCGGGACCTTCTCTCACGCATAATCGCACTTCCAAACCTCAATGTGCTTCCCCGCCTTCCCCCAGGTCCCTCGCCGAAGGGCACATGTTGTCATTTGACAGGATCTCCAGGAAGGGCGATGCCTCATCTGCCTCACGAACGCATGCGCATGCCTTCGTCAGACTGGTCAGAAGCTTCGACCTAGCCATCCATCTTCGAGCGAGCTGCCCTTGTCAGACAACACCACGGCCCGCGTCATGCCTATACAGCCTATACAGTTCATGAGAGCATGACACGGGCCGGCAGGACGCTCTGCTGGGAATTCTACCGCTAGCAGTGCACCTGCCGCTCTTCAAAATTCGCCAAGCTGCGGATAAGACCACAGAGGAACCAGCTAATGACTTGTACCATCCGACAAAGTTCAACTCGCCGGTGTCTTGGCGCGGGAAGGGGTGGAAGCTGAAGTGCGACCAACATCCAGCAGTTGCAAATAAGTAGAGCTGCTGGCTGTGCCTGCTGGGATCCTTGCCGAAGAACCCCAAGCCAAGCATGCATGCGCGTGCTTTAGACGCGCGAACCAGCCGGGGCAAGCACCCTTGTGCATGCCGCCGGAAAGGTTCAAAAAGACATGGGCAAAGATGCCATTCAGGCATGCTCTCCCAGCCTCCAAAACCGTCCTTGCTGTAAAGATGCCCGAAGAGTCTGCACGGAAGCTCCTCGGGAACGAACAGACCTTGAAACTAGTGTAGTAGCTTGAAACGAATCGCGGAAAACCAGAGGCGGCACGCCGCCGGGGCGGCTCTATACAGGGTGCCAGCAGCCTTGCATGATTTTGAAGGCCTTGTAGCCTGGATCTGGGGGACATGCAGGTTCAGAAGTCGGCAGGGAAGCCCAAAGCAGGCATCCCTGATTCAGGCTTCGCGTCCCGGAATCTGTAACCGATAGCGAATTCCCATGCGAACTCCCTCAGCTTTCAGGAGTCGGTGTCCTCTTCACGAGGCAGAGCGCACTCACCCAAGGCCGGGATGCCTCGCAACCTGGCGACTGTAGACTCTAGACTCGGCACTCTGCCCTCTCCCTCACTCCCCCTGCTGGTGCTAAGCCACTATCACTATCGCTAAGCTCTTGCCGAGCAGCACGACCCGTCCGTAGCGGCATTGCATGAGCGATGCCATGTTGCACTTCATCATGTTCACGGCCTCAAGGAGCTCGTCCCCTTCCAGGGCACGGATCAGCGCCAGAGCAGTCTGATGGCCGTGCCGGGTCTTTGACGAGGCGAGGAGCAACCCAGGCTGCGAGAGAAGTCGCCTGGCTAGGCTCGCCTTGTCTTCCGACCTGCAATGAACCAATGCCTTTGCCAGCACGGCACTGGCGTTCTGGTCTGTGGTCAAATCACGGGCATGAGGCTCGAGGACTTGGCAGAGCAAGTGCTGCTGGGCGGACGTTCCATGGCTGAGGATCCTCTGCATCACGAAGTTGCCGTACTGATGCCGGACGAGCTGAAGAGCCTCCTTCAGGAGACTGTTTGTCACGGGCTCCATTTGCTCTGGCCGGCACTGCTCCAGCAGGCGCTGCAGGATACGGCATCCGTAGCGATGCCGGGCGAGCTGTGTGGGGGCTCGGCCTCCATGTGAAGAGATCTCCTTGATGATGAACTGGCAGTCGCTCGGGCGAAGCAGTGTGATGAATCTCTGAAGGACATAGTTCCCGAAGGGGCAACGCGCGGCTTCCCAAACATGTCCAAGCAACTCCTCCGCCAGGGCCTTTCGCTCCTGGTCGGAGCCGCACTCGTCGAGTGCTGCTTGAACACGACGGCATCCCGTCTGCTGTTGGCAGAGCTGCCACACGCGGCCTTGGACGGAGAACCCTTGCCCTCCTTCTGTTGGCGACTCAATCGGGCTCATGGATCTGTCAGACTCCGACAATCCAAATGAAGATGTTGACAACGCTGATGCGATGGTGCTCCCGGTTGTTTCCCGGCGGAAGCTCTTCTCGGAAGGCGTGGGCGACAGGCTTGAGGGCTCCGAATGCACATCCTCACGGGGCAGCTCGGGTCATTGCGGCATGTCATGGCACAGGCACAACCCCTCTTGCCTGGAACTGAAGTCGCTGCACTGGCGGTGTCTGCTGCATTGGCTGAACCGGCTGCTGCACCGGCTGCACCATGATTGGCACAGCGTTCGGAGCGAACGCCATCGGATGCCTCGGAGTGACGAGCAGTCTTCGTGCAAGATTGCAAGATAGCGCAAGAAAACCCTGCAAACCTTCGTCTGCCCGGCTGCCCTCCTGGTACATTCACGACGGATCCGGGGAGAGCTCCTTGCATGTTCACGACGAAAGCCTCGGCTTGCGTCTATGTAGCACTTGCATGCACTGCGAGGCAGAGTGCTAGGCACGTCGATCCCTCCATCATGTCACGCTGTTCAAGCGAGGAACAACAGGGGCCTGGCACACCATCGGCATCGGGCCGCACACAGTTCCTACCACAGGCATGGCCATGGGGCCGTGAGCCTGCACGACTTGCATCATGGCTTCCTGGAGTCTGCAGGTGTCGCACGCGTCTGAGCCCAAATGCGCACTTTCAGAGGAAGAGGATAGTAACCGGAAGAATGCTCTCAAGCCTTGCTGCGCACCTCTGATGATGGCTTGATTCGATGCAAGCACAGCATGTGCCTGGACGTGCTCGATGCCTCGTCCACGTTCGAGCAAAGAGAAAAGCGCAAACGGCCAAGCGCATGAGCCCACAACATGGCCAAAACGTCTCGTTTTTCTATTCTAGGAGCCAGCTTTTCGTCACGCACCAACAGGCCTGTTTGAGGCTAGCTACCACGTCGTTTGCGATGCACATATGTGCTGCATCGGGATTGGTCGTGCCATGATTTCGCATGCTTGTATGCCGCGAACTGCTATCAGAGGAGCCAGGGGCTGCAATCCAACAGCCAAGAGACTTGCAATTGCTATGTGTTCATCGATTTTGGGCCCAGAACTTGAAGCAGTACAGACCGTCCAGCTTTCCCGGTTTCAGGTCGGACTTTGAGATGCCTCAATCACTCAAAGAGCCCCAAACAGTGAAAGCCGTTTCAAGAAGAGCCACTCCAGCCAGCTACAAGTAGCTTCCTTGACGGGAAGGCAAAACAGGCCCGAAGGCCTGCAAAGTCCGCATTATAACGCCACTTTGCCAAGACGTGCAGGGCACCACAGGCCGAAACTGAGCCCCATTGTCATGACCCTGAATGTTGTACTACCACCCAGCTTCGGTGAAAACCTTCAGGAGACCGTGAGCAATCCTCTCGAAAGCGCTTAAACCTGCGCAGTCAGCATTGCTTCCCGGAAATGCTGGCCGCGCACACAATCAACCCATTCTAATTCACAAGACGCCCTGCAAGTCGGGAAGTCGACGCTCGCTCTGGTTTTTGCTCTAGCTGCTCTAGCTTCGCTGAATCCTTCTTAGACTCAGCAAGTGACACTTTGCCAGGCGCCTGAGAGAAGACAGTACTGCTTCTAAGGACACGAGACACGCCTCGCCGAAGGTTCGGGCTAGCGGCTAGTGCGGGCGCATGCCAGTCACCAGCACGGCCGTCTTCTGCTCCTGGGGATGCGGCACGCCCGTCAAACGCACTATCCGCCTTTGGAAGGATGCTCCTCCTTGAGATGCAGCAGCACACGGTAGCGAGCCTGCATCAACACTGACCATGAAAACCACCGCAAGCCCGGAGCACCCAAGTTGCTGGCATTGTCCATGAGAATGTCGCCCACGGTGTCGATCAGCAGCACCTGAGTGGTTGGATCACTATACGGTACACATCAAAGGCAAAGGCCGGTTTGGATATCAGCACCTCCGAATCCTCGTCGAACATCACCCGGGTCTGGACCTCAGCACTCGCTCATTCACACCCACACCCACACGCACACGCATGCCCACGCCCACGCCCACAGCCACGCCCACACGGGCGGCACACATGTGCACGTGCACACGCACGCGCACGGACACGGGCGCGCGCACGCAAACGCAAACGCAAACGCCCACGCAAACGCCCACGCCCACGCCCACGCCCACGTGCACGTGCACGCGCACACGCACACGCACGCCTGCGCGAACTCACGCCCGCCCCCCCCGCGCACGCACACAGGCGCAAATGCATGCAAACATGACGCACGCACGCACGCACGTACGTACGTGCGCACGCGCACAAACACTTGGAGTGATCCCGATATGACCGCACACACAACATGGGTTATATTATAGCGAAATTGACTCCCAAATCCACGTAATTCTATACAACTAGTGCAAGTACGCTGGGTTGGTTCGACCCAATATCAGCCCTGGCATAGTCCTATTCGTGAGGCAAACAGCTATGCTCATGCGGTTGCCCCCTGCTGGTTTTACACGGCGTGCACGAATGGTCCCTTAGGCTCAGGGTGGCACACACGCAGCTGCCCTTTCGAAGGGGTAACACATCATTCGGATGCAGGTAGGTTGTCCTTGAAGTGTAGAATTGCTCGCAGCTGCGTTTTGAAAGCTTTCAGCCTCTCAAACGTTTCTCCGGAAAAAAATTTTGTTCGCAAGATAACCGCTGTTTAGATACTGTGTGCACACGGACTGGACATCTCGTTCCCTCTGAAACTGCAAATGGGAACATCGTGATGCCAGGCACACTTTGCTGTTGACTGCAGCCATCTTGTGACTTCTACTTCTTGCAAGCTTATCGGTTTAAACTGATGCTGCTCTTTCGAAATGATGTCAGCAAGACGTCGCTCAGCCGGGTTCAACTTCTTCGAGCTCTACGGGATTGCTGTAAAAAGTCTAGCTGATACAATGTTGACTTTGCTCCCAATACACCACAAACCGATTGTCAACGTATCTGCACATGAAAAGTTGCTCACGATGTTGACGAAGTGAATGTTGGTTTGCTTCCCACCAGCGATGCTCCACGACATTGACAGCGGCCATATTTCGCTCCCGATTGCGCTGCCGCGCACCTGTTGCAACACCTGCTGCGATTGAACGAAAAGTTAAGTTTGCAATGGTAATGAACACAGCCTGAGGATATCTTTGAAATACATCTGAAAAGCTCGGCCACGAAGCGTTCGTTTTGATCCTTTGAAGATTCAAAGCTTCACGTGATTCCATGTCGGAAACACCGTGAATTCCATGTTGTCATCATCCTGATGCAAAGTTTCCATCCACTGCGCGGCGGCTTCAATGCGTTGAGCGAGGTAAATGACCAACAAGATCTTGACTGGATTGCAAGAAAGGACTTTCACGGTGTGTGGCGAAGGAAGCTCCTTATCTCATGAACGTGAGAGGTTCACACACACAGCAGCACCCCGTGACAGGGGCGCATGCTAGTTGAAAATCGTAGAGCAATGTCGCATGCTGCTATGTGGTGATCCTGCCGTGGTCACTGGCATTGCAAGTGTTCCCTTCAGCTGTGGCAAGCGGGTGCAGCTCCTGTTGGCTGCAAAGTCCCTGTGGTAAACGGGCAGGTGTCCCTGGTTGTGCTGTCGGCACCGCACGTGCCACCGGCATCGGAGTACAATGTCGTGCAGGCAACGTTGCTGATGTGCTTGTGGAAACTGACGTCTGCTTGTGTAAACTGACGTCTGCTGAAAATTTGCGTGTATATATATATATATATATATATATATACATACCTACATACATATATACCTATATACAAACAGCCTATATACATACATGCCTATAAACATATATACCTATATATATATACATACATACATACATACATACATACATACTTAAATGCCTATATACACATATACCTAAATACATAAATACCTACATACATATATACCTATAAACATGTATACATATGTACATATATACATATATACATGCATACATACATACATACATACATAAATACATATATACATATACACAGATATGCATATATATATATATACATACATATATATATATATATATATATATGCGTACCGGCACACGCCCGGGCCTTTCAACCTCAATGCGCTTCCCCGCCTTCCCCCAGGTCCCTTGCCGGAGGGCGCATGTTGTCATTCGACAGGATCTCCAGGAAGGGCGATGCCTCATCTGCCTCACGAACGCATGCGCATGCCTTCGTCAGACTGGTCAGAAGCTTCGACCTAGCCATCCATCTTCGAGCGAGCTGCCCTTGTCAGACAACACCACGGCCCGCGTCATGCCTATACAGCCTATACAGTTCATGAGAGTATGACACGGGCCGGCAGGACGCTCTGCCGGGAATTCTACCGCTAGCAGTGCACCTGCCGCTCTTCAAAATTCGCCAAGCTGCGGATAAGACCACAGAGGAACCAGCTAATGACTTGTACCATCCGACAAAGTTCAACTCGCCGGTGTCTTGGCGCGGGAAGGGGTGGAAGCTGAAGTGCGACCAAAATCCAGCAGTTGCAAGTCAGGAGAGCTGCTGGCTGTGCCTGCTGGGATCCTTGCCAAAGAACCCCAAGCCAAGCATGCATGCGCGTGCTTTAGACGCGCGAACCAGCCGGGGCAAGCACCCTTGTGCATGCCGCCGGAAAGGTTCAAAAAGAGACGGGCAAAGATGCCATTCAGGCATGCTCTCCCCAGCCTTCAAAACCGTCCTTGCTGTAAAGATGCCCGAAGAGTCTGCACGGAAGCTCCTCGGGAACCAACAGACCTTGAACCTATAGTGCAGTGGCTTGAAACGAATCGCAGAAAACCATAGGCGGCACGCCGCTGGGGCGGCTCTATACAGGGTGCCAGCAGCCTTGCATGATTTTGAAGGCCTTGTAGCCTGGATCTGGGGGACATGCAGGTTCAGAAGTCGGCAGGGAAGCCCAAAGCAGGCATCCCTGATTCAGGCTTCGCGTCCCGGAATCTGTAACCGATAGCGAATTCCCATGCGAACTCCCTCAGCTTTCAGGAGTCGGTGTCCTCTTCACGAGGCAGAGCGCACTCACCCAAGGCCGGGATGCCTCGCAACCTGGCGACTGTAGACTCTAGACTCGGCACTCTGCCCTCTCCCTCACTCCCCCTGCTGGTGCTAAGCCACTATCACTATCGCTAAGCTCTTGCCGAGCAGCACGACCCGTCCGTAGCGGCATTGCATGAGCGATGCCATGTTGCACTTCATCATGTTCACGGCCTCAAGGAGCTCGTCCCCTTCCAGGGCACGGATCAGCGCCAGAGCAGTCTGATGGCCGTGCCGGGTCTTTGACGAGGCGAGGAGCAACCCAGGCTGCGAGAGAAGTCGCCTGGCTAGGCTCGCCTTGTCTTCCGACCTGCAATGAACCAATGCCTTTGCCAGCACGGCACTGGCGTTCTGGTCTGTGGTCAAATCACGGGCATGAGGCTCGAGGACTTGGCAGAGCAAGTGCTGCTGGGCGGACGTTCCATGGCTGAGGATCCTCTGCATCACGAAGTTGCCGTACTGATGCCGGACGAGCTGAAGAGCCTCCTTCAGGAGACTGTTTGTCACGGGCTCCATTTGCTCTGGCCGGCACTGCTCCAGCAGGCGCTGCAGGATACGGCATCCGTAGCGATGCCGGGCGAGCTGTGTGGGGGCTCGGCCTCCATGTGAAGAGATCTCCTTGATGATGAACTGGCAGTCGCTCGGGCGAAGCAGTGTGATGAATCTCTGAAGGACATAGTTCCCGAAGGGGCAACGCGCGGCTTCCCAAACATGTCCAAGCAACTCCTCCGCCAGGGCCTTTCGCTCCTGGTCGGAGCCGCACTCGTCGAGTGCTGCTTGAACACGACGGCATCCCGTCTGCTGTTGGCAGAGCTGCCACACGCGGCCTTGGACGGAGAACCCTTGCCCTCCTTCTGTTGGCGACTCAATCGGGCTCATGGATCTGTCAGACTCCGACAATCCAAATGAAGATGTTGACAACGCTGATGCGATGGTGCTCCCGGTTGTTTCCCGGCGGAAGCTCTTCTCGGAAGGCGTGGGCGACAGGCTTGAGGGCTCCGAATGCACATCCTCACGGGGCAGCTCGGGTCATTGCGGCATGTCATGGCACAGGCACAACCCCTCTTGCCTGGAACTGAAGTCGCTGCACTGGCGGTGTCTGCTGCATTGGCTGAACCGGCTGCTGCACCGGCTGCACCATGATTGGCACAGCGTTCGGAGCAAACGCCATCGGATGCCTCGGAGTGACGAGCAGTCTTCGTGCAAGATTGCAAGATAGCGCAAGAAAACCCTGCAAACCTTCGTCTGCCCGGCTGCCCTCCTGGTACATTCACGACGGATCCGGGGAGAGCTCCTTGCATGTTCACGACGAAAGCCTCGGCTTGCGTCTATGTAGCACTTGCATGCACTGCGAGGCAGAGTGCTAGGCACGTCGATCCCTCCATCATGTCACGCTGTTCAAGCGAGGAACAACAGGGGCCTGGCACACCATCGGCATCGGGCCGCACACAGTTCCTACCACAGGCATGGCCATGGGGCCGTGAGCCTGCACGACTTGCATCATGGCTTCCTGGAGTCTGCAGGTGTCGCACGCGTCTGAGCCCAAATGCGCACTTTCAGAGGCCGGATTAGATGTTGTACTGGGCAGCAAGCCACTGCCAATGGCAAGTGAAGGCATGTCGAAGTGCCTCGACAACGGCTGAGAGTGTGGACGTGAGTGACCTCCGTCCCACCTACATAAGGAGACACAAGGAGACTGTGCAGTGCCAAACCCCTGGGCATCTCCATAATTACGCCGTCCTGCCGCTGGATGGACAGCATAAATGACTGATACCTGAGCCATAGACACATGTTCAGAGCACACATGTACGACCTAGAATCAACAACCTTTCCATCGGTGCCAAACCGTCCACCAATCGTCGCTTTTGTTCCGAGCGGCTCTGCAATACTGATAAACTCCAAGCTCATCGGAAAAGGACGCGTGATGTCTGTGCAAACCTGTAGCTGCAGGTCATCAGAGCCCCCACCAACTCGCCTACAGAAGACCATGATCGTGGTACAGAAGAAAACACACGGACTTTCTCAGGCTGGCGCCAAAGGCACTCGGGGCCGCGGGGTGCCGGAGGCGAGAGGCTTCGGTGGGGCCGGAACTTAGCCAAGGCAAGCCGATCCCTCATTTGCTCTACAAGATCTTGAGCGTGCGAATGTAGGCAGATTCGCACGGGCATTCTCAAGCTTCTGCATGGGAGAGCGGAAAGTGAGAGGAAATTAGGAAGTCGTGCAGTCGTGAAATGAGGCAGCCAACAGGAGAGGCACCCGTGCGGAAGAAACAGCAATACATACGTACGGTAGGCAAATCGCGAAATGTGACGAAGGTGAAAACCAAAGAGAAAGTGAAAACGCTCATATCTCTAATCAACATTGCGGTCTCCACATGGTAGATCGGCGAAATCATCATTGGGCTCTAGCCGGTTGCCGCTGGGGCAAAGCCGCGGGCGCCCGACCTGTCTCGTCTCAGTCAACCAATGCATTGAGACACACACACACATGCAGCTGGCAAAGCTGGCGCAACTGAGAAGAGAAGCTGCAGCCACGACCGTAGCCTGAATCTCAGCCTGCGGCTGGTTTAGTCTGGGCACCAGCAGCAGCACCGTCCTCAGCCCGAGAGCAACTATCAAAGTGCAACTGCAACACTTGTAAGCATGGATATGCATGGATTTGAGGCCATGACGACTCGCCGACGCCACAAGACTCAGACAGAGCTCTGTTCAATTCTGCGGGCCTACACAAGTCCCAATTCTAAGGGCCCCGCCGCCAGGCTGCGGCTGTCCAGCAACGGGCTGCCTTGGAGGACGAGCCTCTGGCGCTCTACCTCAGACAGGGAAGGACACCCCCAGATCTAGGAGTCTGTTGGAGTCTGTGTGAGTCTATGTGAGTCTCATTGAGACTCTCTGAGATGACTCTGCCTTCGCTTCGCTTCGCCTCTGTGGGCCGCACAGGAGTGCCTTCCAGCGATGCCAGCCGCTCCTGCAAGCAGACACCGGGAACGCCAAAAGTCTCTCTTGCGCGCCCTTGCCTTGACACGACTGATGGTGTCAGTCGGATGTACCTGGTCAGAAGCTCCTGGTCCTAAATCGTTTCAAAAGAAAAACGGAAGTCGTTATTGCGGGTTCGAGCCTCAAGCTGTAGCACCACGTCCGCCGGCGTTCGTATGTGAAGCTGGAACGGCCTTAGCTAAGTTGACCTACAAGACGTGCGAACTTGTTCCTTCGTCTCAGCCTCAAATCCTAGGCACGAAATTTCACAAGCCAAACAGAGAACCTCCATGGGTTGGCTTTGACCCGGACTGTGCGCCAGATGCATTGATCTGGCTGACGTGGTCCTGGACCTTCACAGGCGAGGCCAAGTCACTAGCTGGCAGTCTGCGGTCAAAAAAACCCGTCAGCACAGGACCCCCAACGGACGAGCACTTGAGAGCCTGCTTGAGCCGGGTGAGCTCGGCAAATATCACGTTTGCGGCTTCCTCGTCTTTGGCCTCAGCACCATCCGGAGCGTTCTCTTGGCCAAAGTTTCGTCAACCCTCTCGCATGACCGGCATAACAATTCTGCACCTGTCGGCGCAGGTCATCTTTTGACAACGTAGCAAGCACCTGCTCACTGTTTGCGAGCACACACTGTCACATCCACATACACGAACTCAGGAGTGATCATGAAAACGGTATCAGCAAAAAGCTATTGATGGCAGCGACATGACGTTTTGCAGAGCTCGGCAAGGGGCAGCAGTTGGCTTGAAAGGCCGGAGCCCAGAAGCGACCTATCGTGCTCCTGACTCCTCACAATTCAGTTTGATTGTTCATGACAGCAGTAAGCAGCCCGCTGTGAGGCAAATGTGCCATGTTGCCCTGACGGCCTTGCCACTGCAATGACCAAAAGCTGCCGTTGCTGCATGGCCTCCCAACTTTCTTGAGCTTCTTAATACGAGCTGCTGAGATGGCATGGAAAGTTCCAAAGAGTGCACTGATGCGAACCGCTCCACAGACTTTCAACATCCATCGGAATCCAGCCAGCCCCCCGCCCCCGATCAGTGGTGGGTCGCCCAGGCACTTCGCCGATTGCTTGAGTTTCAAGACCTCCGCATACGTCAATTCTCGTTCTAGACCTAGAGATTCGCATAGGTGTTCCGAATCCCGCAAGCTTTGGACTGAGTGATCGACACCCAGCCTCTGGAGCCCTTGGGGTCACTGCTGCTACCATCATTATTGTCACTGTTACAACTAGCAGCACTGTCAACGGTTCTCAGAATTGATAACTGATAACGTTACAAGCTTTAGCTCTCCATGGTCGCAGGTTTGGGACACGGCATCATCATCACCTTCACCATCATCATCACCATCATAGCCGCCGTTGGAACTCTACATCTCATTGTGAACATAGACATAGCAACCGGAACAGTGCCAATGACAAAGGGTTCAGCTTCACTGATGCCTGACATTCACACCGAAGGTGATAATCATCATCGTCGTCGTAATCATAGTAATAGCAATGATGACAACTTGAACCATAGTCTGATCCTCGCAAGGATTGCTCTGACCTCTTCCCGTGAGCATCTTTGGTGGAGCATCAGATCGTGGCTACGGAGCTGTCCGTGTTGCACAAGCCGCTTGCTCCACGAGCTCCGGGATTCGCGGAGGGAAGTTTCTTCCAAAAGCAAATTGCCCGACGATTTCTCACTTGTAACAGTGGTGACGGTGCCTCGAGCTCGAAGTACTTACAGCAGATCTAGCAGGTGTTCCCTGGGTACAGCAACATTTCGCGACAGGTCGCCTAGAGCCGGCTTCGAAGACCCGACACAATCAGGTCTCCGTACGGAACGTCGCCTGGTAGCACCGCTGCGAGGAAGGCTTGCACCTCGAAACCGCCGCACAGAGTAGAAACACACTGACAAAAAAATGCGACTCGACTCTCTCCTAAACACATCTAAGACAAACAAACGGGGCCACTGGCCGGCAGGGGCCGGGCCTCCGGGGAGCTCCAGTTTTCCACGTCTTTGCCACGCCAGGTGAAGCCTGCCAGGGGCCAGGGCTAGGGGGCCAGGGGCGGCCAGGCCATCCACAGGGCTCTCAAGCGTCGTCTGCGTCGTCTGCGTCGTGTCGCGTCGCTTCCGGGGTCCGGGTGTGTTGGGGGCCCTGGTTCCAAGTCTTCTCGGCAAGAGCCCCCAGGGATTGCGTGATCTGGACCCCAACCAAGCTAGCGCACGGCAGCGTGCTTCAAGGAAGCGAAGCAACCCCGACCAGCTGTTGCAACATCGGCATCGAGATCCCGCAAATGAAACCTTGCACATGCTACCAGTACGAACACAACTCACCTTGCAAAGGCCCCTACCGGACATCTCAACCCTTTTTGTGTACCGCGCGCGTGCTTTGTCTTGTATGCTGGTGGCAGCTTGACCCAGGAACAGCAACTCATGCTAAGCGTCACAAGCTTTAGCAAAAGCTTAGCAAAATCCCACCATCCATGTGCATTGTTCCTAGAAATCCCGAGCCACCTGGCATGAAATGCTGGTGCCTTTGACACCAGGAGTGCTGCTAAGTTCTACCCTTCAACTGTAGGGACTGCTGCTTTGCAGGCTTGAAAAAGGCAGCCGGCGAGAGCTGCAATGCCGAAGATTGAATGGAACAGGGAAAAGCCTTCTTCCGGCCGAAGGTTCTTCCATCATCGGGCTGGATGTGGCTATGCCAGACTGGTACCCCAGCCTGGGAATAAGGGTCCCTCAGGGACTGACGTGATATACGGAAGCACCTGGAGTAGGAACGGCAGATACCATGGAGTTGAGAGAGGAGCTCCTCTTGGGCTGCATGCACCGGTTCAGATCTCCTGTGAGGGTTCAAGCAAGGTTCCTTTCTTTCTGGTGGGAGGGGAAACAAAAAGCAAAACGGGGCCGCCCGTGCCTTCATTAACACGAACGTATAGATACTGACCGCCACTTTTGCCATTGCGCTGGAGGTTATCATTGTCGTCGACGGACAAATAACCTGAGATGCTGCAAGGGCCTCCTATGCTCTCATGCCCTCGCAGTCCTGTGCTAAGCTGGTCAAGGTGCCTCCAGCCAGCAGGATATTGCAATGCTCGTCGTACTGCAGCAGCGTCGCTCCTTGGGTGGTGCGCACCTGCTCCCCTGTAATGACAAAACCATGAAGCCATCCAACCATTTTGGAGGGACCATCGCATAGCACCCAGCAGCCTTGCATTCGCAAAAGCTGGTCATTTCGCCTCTCTTCCGGCGACAACGCTCGGTAAGATTGGTTCTTACCATTGGAACTCCTCGACCTGACTTTGCCTATCACACTTGGTGCCATGTATGCCATGGCTTCGGGCGGCGTGGACGGCGGCTTTGGCGGCTTCGCACAGTTCCGACACTGCCAGCCCAAGTCGTTCCACACGAGCTCCGTCTGGGTTTGCCCCTCGCTGGTGGACCTGACTGGCGCCTGGGGCTTGTACCCATCCGTGGAGAAGGACCAACTGCAAGCCGAGATGCTAAAGATGCTGTGCGAAGCGTCCCCCCTCCTGTCGTCCAGGCTGGCATTGGATTGGAAGATTGGAATGCGCAGGGACGGGCTTCCAGGATTTTCGCCCCCATGCAAGTGGAGCCTGGGGCTCGAATGCTCTTCGATCGAACGAATGGAGCGCAAGGACTTTTGAGACAGTGATCGCTTCGTATGCCTTGTGGGCCCTGCAGAGATAGCTATACTCTGACTAGCAATACTTTGACAGTCGTCATCCGGCACAGATGGCAAGACTGTTTGTATGCGAGTAGGGGCATCAACTGCCGAGAGAAAAGCCAACCAGGCCGGTTCTGCTGCACCCGTTTGAAGCAAGCGGAGACGCAGTGACTCGTGCCGCGAAGCCAGCTGAATACGGACGATGATGCTTCTCGAGTGCCACAGTTCAGAACGGATAAGCAGCAAGACTGAGTGGTGATCTTCCGAGGTCAAATAATCCAGCAGGGACTTGCCCGTAGGATCCTTCCCGAAGTATCGGTGCTCTGCGATACTGCACCTGGCGCGCATCGATGACATCAACTAGGCCCTCAGGCGCCGGGCCTCAAGGCTGCTAGGATTCTAATCTTCGAGTTACAAAACGCTGATCTCAGCTCTGAGCTCGGGACGGCAGGATTGTCAAGTCGCCGGCGATGCGGAGGACCAGGTGGTCCGGCACCGAGGCGACGGGCTCCTGCCTTGGCTCCTTTTCTGGGCTCTCCTCCTCGGACTGCAAGTCTTCCACGAAACCCTTGCCATGGCCTGAGTCCCCCTCGAGCCGCTCCTCAGAGGCCTGTGAGGCGGAAACGCGTGCGTCGACTTCGCGACACCACGCTGCGTGGTAGAAGCTCGTTGCCACCAGCAGCAGGGCGACGCTATCGGCCCCGACAACAGCAGGACTCGGACTGAGATTGGAACTGGAAGTGTCAAAAGAGAGGGAGAGGGAGCCTAAGACGAAGGAGAAGAACGCGGTTACGTAGACCAACCAGCTAACAGCACTCCTCAGAGGGAGCATGGCAGTCGCACTCACAGCCACAGACACGAGACAAAGCCTCGATGGGCTATTTTCTTCGGAGCGCGGCTGCGCCATCAAAGCGCAGGAAAAAGATGCCACGGGTACCCAGATCCACTCCTGGTTGATGCAGAGCTTGCTCTGCTTTGGCACTGCCATCGTAACTGCGGCCAGGAGCCAGGCCAGAGCACTGCAGAGAGTGAGCCACGTTCTGAGGTCCAGGACTTCGGCCAAGACGAGTTGCACATAGAGCCAGACAGCGGCTACCGAGATTCCGCTGACCAAAGTCTGGAGCCGCCGTCTCTCTGCCAGCAAAGCAAGGAAATTCGCCTCATCCTCGAGAGAAGGAAACCGCAGGTCCAAGGCTGAAAGGCAGCTGCTGCTGAGACACGCCATGCCCGAGGACGGGGGGGCCACAATTCAGGTCTCAAGTTACAACTAGAACTACGCTTGTCGCCTTCTTCCACAATGAGGCGCTGCATCGCGCGCTGCTGGGCTAAGACACGGGGCTGCAGGAGGGGCTCGGGCTAAGTTTCAATTGTGCGATCTGGCCCCTCTCCCCTCTTGGGGTCCCCTCTCTCGGGGGACTGCCACGCTGGCACTGCGCGGCTGAACGCTCTGAGCCCAAGAACGCCCGCAAGACATGCGCTGCTGATGCTGCTGCAACAAATTGAATGGAGTTTCAATCTCGGACTCTTACAAGCCTTTCTGATGAAAGCGTGCCGATGCAAGTCACAGAACATGCAGCCCGGATCGAGACACTCATGAACGCCGTGGCCATGTAAACCGGGTGAGACCACGCAGTGCGCGATTTGCCGAAGACCTTGGAGCCTTGCCATGCCGGCCAGGCCGTGCCTGAGCCGTGCCCGTGCCTGTCGCCCCGGGATGTCAGCTCCGAGGCGGGCTCTTGCCTGAAGCCTCGCGCTCGCTCTGGGTCGTCCTCGCTCTTGGATTCATCTGTTGTCCCAGGTGGCACTGGAGTCCAAGCAGAGAAGCTTCGAGGACGCCTGCGCATTAAGCTCAGTGGAAGCTTCTGCAAAAATCTTCTGCACATCTAAGCAAGGCCTCGAAGCTGGCCTCCAGCACACCCACAGCCTCAGGCATCGTCTCAAAAACACAGGCCGCTTTCCTGGACATGAGCGAGTGTCGCCTCGCTGCAGTCAATGAAGCGGGAGGTGCCAAGCAGGGGAACAGAAAGATCCGGAAGATCCTCAGAGTCCTCAGCCGGCGTCCCGCCCTTCGGCGCTTCGCTCGGCACTTGGCTCGGCTTGCGCCTCGACTCAGAGCGAAGAGGCGCAAGCGGGCTTCGTGGCGAAGCACTCGAGCGAAGACTCATCTCTTCTTTGGGCTGCGAGATCGGGGCGATCGGGCTTGGGCTTGCGCCACGGACCCTGCTCTTTGGAGGCTTTGCGAGCACGTTCACATGTGCCACATAGCCTCCAGAGCCTTCTGTCTTTGTGCTTTCTGGGAGCCTTGTGGGGCCCTCGCCCTCCGTGTCCGGAAGACGACTGAGGCCAGGGCTTGCCCCCCGGGACGAGGCCCGGGCCACACGGCGGGGTTGGAGGCCATGTGCCTTCTGAGAAGGACGGCTCTGACTCTCTCGAGCCTCTCGCTCTGCCGGAGGGCCGGACGCAGGGCGCCGCGGCAAGCATTTGGGATGGAAGGTGTGTTGCTCGGTCAGGCCATCCCTATGCTGCTCTCGCAGTGCCCTGGCTGCCGCAATCTTTGCCTGGCGCTGGGCAGCCCATAGAACAGGGTCGCCACTAGCCATGGCTGAACAAAAGCAAAACATTTGTGGAGCCAAGTTGGGTCAATGGCAGGCACAATGGCACACAGGATGGCACAGGCAGGTCCTGCTTCCTTGGACCCTGGTTACACAGCGTCCCTAACCTAAAGGCAACCCCATCACCTCCGGAGTCCGTCAACACCATGAACCTGTGCGCTCCAATGCTGCCGCGCGCTGTCTTCGACCCTGCAAGCTCTCTTAGCCCTGCGCCACGCACCAGCTGCCAAGCGAAGCTACGACTTGCAGTGGGCCACATGCTTCGGCAAGTTCGAGCTTCAAACATCTGGCAGTATGCAGAAGAGGAAGGCAGACCATGCATTAAATGCCTTCAGTGTTCAGCTGCAGTTGCATGTTTGAATCAGAAAAAGAGTGACAAGGTCATCTTCCGCCGTTCTCCGTGGGTCAATAGGGGCCAGTGTTCGAGAACTGCGGAACTCCGTTTTTAACTTGGTACACTTCTTGATTTGTCCGTGTCATCCTTGTTCGAGAAGTCTACGTCCACAAGGGAAAAGGCCCCAACCACGCTGTGCTTCCCTCTGCTCTGACCTCTACCTCTGTTCCACTGTGCTCCGCTGCTCTCCGCTTTTTTTCCTCGGCTGCCCGGCCTTGGACCTGGGCAGAGCCCTCGCTCTGTCAGTTCGCTTCTTCGAAGCACGGAACGACGCGAATCCTACGGGCTGCTATGCTGCTATGCGGCTACGCTGGGCTCAGCAGCCGCTGTGTCACCAAGGCAGGCATCGTCGCCAGCCGGCGACGTTGGCACGGGCTGCAGATTTCACAGAGGCACCCCGACCGGTGGGAGGCCTCCAAGTATGCCGAGAACCCGAGACTGAGAGCCCTTCTTCCGCAAAAAGCTGAGAGCCGTGCTCTTCATTCGTGTAAGCCTCTTCGACAGCCTGCGTCGTGGTGACAAAAGCTGGACAGCCGCTCCCTGTCACATCCCTCTTCCGAGTGCGTGACTCTTCTGGCAGAGTGATGGAGCTGACCTCATGTCCCAATGTCACTAAACACTAATTGCGAGCACTGGAATATTGATGACTACAGAGGCCAGGACAGTGCCGACATTTTGTGCCCGAAGCGCGAGTTCGAAAACGTCCCCTCGCTTTAGACCCAAGTAGCCTCCAGGACAAGCCGGCTCAGTGCACATTGACTGATTGCACTGAGGCTGCGACTAGAGCTCTGGCCTTGGAATTTCGCTTCAGAACGTGAGCTCACAGCTGAAAAGTAAGCGGCGGTGACAGGAGGTTAGTCAGTCTCCTGCTGAAGACAGAGAAGCGGTCCCTCTTCCATCCGGAGTAGGCCTCGTCTTGCTTTCCCCTCACTCCCTTCACTCGCATCGCTGGAGTCGCCACCACTCAGTGAGCGACAGCCCAGCCAGTCCCAGGAGGGGCATAGGCCACACCGGCGTCCCCGAAGAGGCACTTCCACCGCTGCTCCGCCTTGGTGACAGCGCGCGCTGCACATCGCGGCATTCCAGAGGCAAAGAACCTGCTGCTTGAGTGTGATTGGGCTGCAGGGGTCCTTTGCCGATGCAAGCTGGAGCAGGTACGCGAAACTGTGCCAGAGGTGTAAACAAAAGCTGCGCTCCTTCTTGTGGTGTCTCACTTCTGTTCTCCAGCACCGTGTCGCCGACCTAACCTTCACGTGCAGTCGGCTCAGTCGTTGACACGAGTCACAAACCTCGAGTTCCCAGATCGTGCCCGTCCTCTTTTTGCTGCTTCGACGCTGAATCTGCTGGCTCCTGGTCATCTAGCCCGAAGGCGCTCTTAAGCACTCAACTTCTGCATGGCAGCGCCTCTCTTGACGTCAGGGCTTCTTTGGCATACTGATCGTTTTCCGAGGACTTGTCCACCGTGCGAGCCTTTGCAAAAGGGCAGCAGCCCATTAGCAAAAAACCTCTTCAGCAGTGCAATTGACCAAGACCCGCGCTACCCATTCACGAACTTGTGATTGCTGTGCCTTTGCACATCGGAAATTTCTGACTTCTCTGCTAGCAGAGACCCAAAACAAAGCGTAGTGCTCTTTCCCTTCCCCTCAGTGTCCTCTTCCAGCTCTGCCGCATCACGTGCCTGACCAAAGTCCACCATGTCATGCTATTGCCAAAACTGCCAGGACGACGACCAAGACGACGACGACCACCCACCATCACCACGGGACCATGAAGCTGAAAAGTTCCCTCCCTCCCCTTCTTCCTGTGACACGATTTCACAGCACGGCCTGCCACGAACGATCCAGAAAACAGACTATGTCAGAGTCGATCCCGATTCCAATAACCCTGCGCCTCCTGTGCCTGCAGTTGCTGCATGGCCTCTGCGAGCGGGCGCAGGGTGCGCAAAAGCACAACGAGTCGTGCTCTCACTGGCCTCCATGGAGGCCACCTCCCCGGATGCAGAAGATCGCGTCCCTTTGAGGTTAGCATCCGCGTCGTGCAATGAGGCCTAGGTTCCGAAGCTAAAGGACTCAGAGGCTCAGTGAAAGTCATGTCGAGAATCAAGGGCCCAAGCCCAATTCTTACGGAGGCCGTCTTCCAGCTTGTCATACCTTGCCATCCTGACCACCATTCTGTCCGCCCCAGTCGTGGTCTCGACTCTCGGAACTGGGGGACCGGACATTGTCTTGTCCACTGGCGGAGGGTGTGGACATGGGCACACCTCAAGATGCCCAGATCTACAACGCCGGAAGCAGATGTGCTGAGCAGCTGACTACCATCTTCCCTGTCGAGCGGGAAAACCTCGCCGGAAGTCTGCACTGCCGTACTGCGGTTGCCCCGGTCAGAGCCTTGCCTCGAGCTGGAGGTGCTCCTCTGCCAGCTAGACGGCGAATCCCTGAGCGCCCCGAATGTTGCGACTTCTGCAACTGCGAGAGATCAGAGCAGGCGGCTTCCCGAAATCTTAGGCTGGGACATTGCGGAGTGCGCAGTGCCAGCCTCAGTCATGACCACTCGCGAGCACGGGCTTAGCAGGAATGCATTGCTAGGCATTCAAACAGAGGAGCAAGTGCCAAGGGGCATTGACTGTGTCGAAAGGCGCCCAGCACTGTAACCGAAACAGCAAGGGGGCACGGTGATGCAGTTGTGGACTGCTCTGAGTCACTGAGCCGCATGATGCTAAACTTCTAGGCAGACTCGCACGGCTTGTTTTCCTCGCAGCACATCGAACAAACTGTCGGGGTGGCTCGTGCAAGAGCAGAGAAAGGTGCAGATCCTAGTATAATCACGATGCTCATTCGAAGGGTTAGTCTTCGCTCATCTTGCTGATGACCTGCAACACATTCGCAGCAATGCTGCAAGCCTGTCTGCAGCAGGAGGCATGAACATGTTGTTAAGCTGGCGGCGAAGACAATCCCGGCTGCCAGGAAAAAGCTTCCCACGGAAAAGAAGATCATGAAGTTCTTTGCTTGCTCTTCCCTGCCAGGACCATCAGGAAATGAATCAGATCACAAGGACTCTGCACGCACACCGCGAGCTGGACAACGCGTGCTCATGCCCAAATCCATGACCTACTTCCCGCATTGCCACACGACGAACCCCTGCGACAAACGACTAATCAGCGTGCATCTGCGACATTGAAACGTCGCCACATGTCTTTCCTGCCGATAGCATATAGTCTACACGAGCTGTTCGATGCACAGCACCACCTCAGACATGGGCCCATGAAGACTCTGCCTGATGTCGTAGCTGCCGTCGACTGCCCAAGCCTTGGTCGGTTGCTTGTCCATTGCACTGCGTCTTCTGCGTCTCCTCTCTCTCTCTCTCTATCTATCTGTCTATCTACCTACCTATCTATCTATATGTGTATATACTGTATATACACACACATGCATGTACGTCATTTATGCACACACATACCTGTGTGATACACATGCTTGAAAAACGTTAGACACCACAGACACATGTACAGAGACTCGCGCCGGCTCTGCCATCAGGGCGAAAGCAGCAGAGAGCGCCGCTTTCTCCACGGCAGGCTTCAGCTCTACAGTCATCTGCCTGGCAGTTCTGGAGAGTCGCACCTCGTAAACCAACAAGAACAAACAGACACCCGTCTAACGTCTCACGTCTCTGGGGTTCCTCGGAAGTGCCAGCTGCAGCTCCTCGGCCTTTGCCACAACAGCACTGCTGTCAGCCCTGGGCGGCCTCCGAATCCCAGCCTGGGCGGTTGCCACATCTCTGGCTGGTGGCCTTCACAGAGTTGCGCTCCGGGATTTTCAACAGAACATGAAGCTTGGGCTGGGACTGCTGCGCCACACGGGCGGGAGCCGTCACGAAAGCAGGGCAAAGAGCCTGCGGAATACCGACGCTGCAGAACAGCACACAGCAACACGAGCAACAGGCTGATTCAGCAGAAATCTGACAAAAACGGCTGTACTTCTAACGCCACTACAAGGGTTAACACGTCGGCACCCATGGCACCTTCACAGCTCCACCAACCAAGAGGACAAAGGCAAGGCCCAACATTGGCCTACGAGCCATGATCACTGATTTCCGAAATTCCAGACCCGTTCTCCTGGCTTGGGCTCAAACGCTGCAGGCAACCCGTTCTCACCCTACTTTGGAAATGCTTGGTTGTCCTGGGAGGGTCGGTAATTAACTACCACGATTTGTCGGCAACATGCCGGTTGAACGAACACACTCAAATGCCCAATCTTGGACGGCGAATCTCATTCCAGCAATCCTGTTGATATAAAAGAAGCCCAAACTGCAACATCTACCGGGCGGAAATGCGAAAAAAGTCTTCCGCACGGACCTTGCGGAATCACGTTGCTGTACTGACTCGTGCTGACCAATGACCAAAGTTCACGAAGTCAAATCGTTTCGTGCAAGATTGTCGCGAACCGCGACACAAGTTCATATACAACTACACAGCATATGCACCCTTCTTTGTGGCATTGAAGTATGCATGCAAAGATACGTACAACCGACAATGTTCGCTTTTGCTTGCACAATAGCAAATATTGATTTGCACAACATGTAGTATATGCAAATGTGTATATGTTTATGTGGATTTGCAATACATTAAACATAAAATATAATACAATATAATAGAATAATATAATACAATACAATTTAATATGACATAATACAACACAATACAATATTGTATGTCATAATATAATACAATACAACACAATACAATACAATACAACACAATATGCTACAATATAGTATAATGTAGTACAATATAATATAATAAAATATAATACAACAAAACAAAAATATACAGTCTTATGATATATATATATATATATATCCCAGCTTTCGTGCGTTTGAAAGCCGGACGGGAAATTTCGTGTTCATGGACATATGGATTCATATGGACATTGTCTACAATCTCGATGCGTCTTATTGTTGGAAGAATATACCATGTTTATGAGATGACATGTCTCTGCTCTCCTTTGCGTGTTGCCTTCAAAGTCCATACTGCTGCCTGTAACAAGTTACATGTGCATACGCACACAGAACATACATACGAGAAGAAGTCGTAAGCGAATGCATATCGTGTAAAAACAAGAGCTGTAATGAAGCTTGTGAAAACGGTATGTAAAAGAAAACCTTTTCATATCTCGCAGAATACCTCGCAATACCTTGTGTTTCACCATTGGAACACTCTATCAAATACCTTTCACAATGCAAATTCCACTCTTTCAACCTGAAAAGCATGGAGTTTCGAACAAGACCACCAACAAATTTTGCGCACATTTTTCAAGCCATGGTGCTTAAACAAAAATGTTCTATGACAACCAGTGTGCATGTTTTTCCCAGTGTCACTTATAGAATTCACATTTTTTTCGTCTGCGGGCCTCGATGGCTACAACAGGGTGCAAAATCACGTCTGCCGCTTTCACTTCAAAGCTAGGGCGGCATCATCACGTCTGCTGCTTTACTTTAAAGCCAGAGCGGCATGTTACGTTCTGCTTTCACTGTCGGGCAAGCGCAGTGTGCTACTTTCTGGTGCGTGGGCTTCTGAGCAAGTTCTACTGGCTTTCAACCCTGCCATTTCTCGCCGCCATTTCGTTCCGCTTTGTAAGGGCCGCGTTTTGTCTTTGTGACAGTCGAAGCAGCAGACGTGATTTTGCACCCTGCCTTTGGAGGCTTAAACTGCGGAAGCTCCTTGTTTTGGCAGCTAATCCTGAGGTTTTGCTTCCAAAAAGCCGTTTCGCTTCCTAAGGGCCGCATTTTGCCCTTGCCAAAAGTTCTTGCAGTGGCCATGATTTTATTTCCCTTTATGTGTCAACCGAGCGTTCATATTCCATATATACAAAAGAGTATACATATAAAAATTCAGGATATGTCACTCTTCATCCGAATATATACTTCACAACTAATAAAAATTCGGCTCACACTAGCGGCTCGCTTTTTCTCGTGATTGGGGCATCGCAGTGCCTTGCCCTGGGCTCGGGCCCAGGGCGCTTGCTCCTTGTTCAGTCTCGACAACATAACATACGGATTTGTACAGAAAGTATAAGGATGCCACTTGCATCATTGCGAAACTTCGCAGCACAACTTGTGCTTATAACAACAGGGCGGGCTGGGTGGGACAAAACTTTTTCCCGGACTTATGCCGGAAATTTTTTCTTACCCTCCCACCACCCTGTGGAGCCAACTGACGGCATAACAAAGACTCATTGAGATCCGCTCAACATGAACTGTCATGTTTCATGCAAAGAAAACTTTGATAAAAACTCACGCCCTAAATTTTTAGTTTGTTTGACAAACCAAAAATTTTTGACACATGGGAAAATAAAGCTTCATCCGCTATTCGCGGAGTTGCGTCTTATTTCCCTTTATGTGTCAACCGAGCGTTCATATTCCATATATACAAAAGAGTATACATATAAAAATTCAGGATATGTCACTCTTCATCCGAATATATACTTCACAACTAATAAAAATTCGGCTCACACTAGCGGCTCGCTTTTTCTCGTGATTGGGGCATCGCAGTGCCTTGCCCTGCCCCTGTCTTTGGCACTAAGAGCGCCCAAACTACTCGCCGCCGCACCACTTGTGCACATCACTTCAGTCGTGACTTCGACTCCTCAAGAAAGCTTTCAAAGAACTTTGCCGCAGGCCTAACACGCACGGGTGTCGGCAGGTTCCACACTCCTCTCGAAAGCGGATCCGAAGGATTACTTACAGAGGGAACTCGATCGTACCAAATCATAAAGCCAAGGTTTTCCTCAATCTCACATACCGCATCGATGACATGCGATGCAAACTGACTCACTGTCCAGCACTTCACGAAGGCTCCGTGAACACCTTCGTTGTCAGTGAACACAACCACATTCTTGCCCTTAAGAGCTTTGAAGAAAACTTCAGCGCAACATATACCGCCAAAGCCTCCAGCTCAAAGATGACAGTCTCTTTGACACGCTCAAAGGACGTCATGACTTGGGAAACAAGCGAAGCATCAAGGTTTTCACCGAACCATTGGAGCAAGGAGCCTTTATGGTCATATGCCATGCCCCCGATGCCACAAAGCTTGCCCTCATCGCTGAAGGATGCATCCACATACACATGCACGACATTGCCCAGTTGCCGACTAATCGAGTGGCTTTGGTTTGACGAAACCAAACGCCTCAAGAAGCGACACGCCTCGGAAGTGACCTCGCTCAACCGACCTCCATGATGCCGGCTAAGCTGATGCAGAGCAACCTTCGCTCTTCGACCGAACAACTGGCCAGAAGCAAACTGCAGCCTACCTCGAAGTCTCTCGCAGTCAGAATGCGACAACCTGCCAGCCAACAATACCTCGTCCAAGGCAGCAGTCAACTCCAGCACACGCTTTTCGGTGTTCGCCAACTTGAAGAGCCCCAGGCGAGCTTCAGCCATGTCAATCTTGATTCCAAGAACTTTACAGCACACGTCGTAAGGCAAAAGTTTATCTAGTGAAAGATCCCAACCTAGTAGCCGAAACAAAGTGCTGATAACGACTTCCACATGTCGGCGCGCGCTCCTCAGGCTTGCAGGCCGATAGGAAATCGTCAAAATAAAAACTCCAGACCAAGGCAAACATTTTTACCCCCAACCGCCAAATCCCGAATGCACAACGGATAAAGGCGGTCACTGAGGCTTTTGCCCCGAAGGGCATGACTCGCTGCTTGTAGATGATGTGCTTGCGTGTGCGGGGGCAGAAGATTACGAAAAAGCTATCCTTTTCGAAACTTTTGTCACTGAGCGGCAGTTGCTTGTACGCGGCACTGAGGTCCCAACATTTGCACACCAGTCCCGCACGCAAGGACTTCAAAGGAGACAAGTGCAACCACATCGCCAACATGCCAGCAACTACGTCCAACGTGTGAACGGGCACTTGTTCACTTTGGGATACAACCGAATTTACAAGCGAACTCAAGTAATTATCGATTGGTCTAACTTTGGGACCTTCCTCGGTCTCTCCTTGAATCACTCCAAAGCGATGCGTGACCGTCCCATCACTAGGGATGTCGCTAGCACTCACCGGCCCCTCAATGAAGCCTTTGGCCAACTCCTTCTCCGTGGCTGCCAGCACGCCTTGATCCACGATCTCGTCCCCAGAACTTTTAACCGAAGCCAAAACCTGACCCCTAACTAAACCCGCACTTCTCCTAAGCGTTTCCTCGGCCATGGCTGCCGGGCGGTACTTATTCTTAAAGGCATTAGATCGGGGCAAGGGTCCGGTTAAGTCAAAACCGTTTGACAGATCAGAAATCAAGTCCTCGTCCTCGTGTCCCACACTGTCAAGCGTTTCCTTCATCAAGAGCAGCCGCTTGTTGCACAACACTTGACGTCGATGGGAGCTGAAGGATCCCTTGAACTGACTTTCGGCAGTTTCCAGCTCCTCAGCGCGAGCAAGCCATTTCTTGAGCATCTCAGTTCGCTCGCGCCCAAGCGTAGCGACATCTTTGGAATGATTTGCCCGTATGGCCTCAACAAGCTCCGATGGCAAAAGGCTTTCCAAGTGACACGGATGTTGCACGCTCAACGCCCTCGCCACGAACTCCTCCGGTTCATGGTACACACCGAAAGTGATACTTCCTTTTTGTACTTTTGCGACCCTGGGAGGCACATCGTTAGAACCAGAAGAAGGGCCTAAGGGGAAACCCAATTTTTTTAAGAACCCTTTGTCGGCAGTCGCAAGTTTGGTCACTCCCACTGGGGTGTATGCAACGATTACTCCTCTGTCACCTCGCCATGGTTGAGTAGCATGCCAACGCTTCGGTTCAAAGATAAAGGGTCTCCCAACTGCCAAGTCGTGAAACCTCCCAGCACGTTGGGTTTTCTCGACGACCATTGCAATAGGTCCACCTGCCTCCTCGAGCCACAGTCCACCGCCAACACAAGCGTGCGTTGCCATGACCAGGTTTTTTGTTCCTGGCTCATTGTGCAAATCTCGATGGGCTTCTGCTCGCACATTGCACAGGTAGCCCACGGCAGAGAAGCAAAAACCCGGAGCATTATCGCGAACATGCTTGCAAAGCACGGCAGTGCACCAAGGC